CCCCCGGAGAAAAAAGTCTGGAAGAAACACTGATTTCGTCCAACACAATTAATAAATTTTACGTGTCAACATGTTATCAGTTTTTCTTTCAGACTTTTTTCTCCGGGAGGGGTGGGGGACTTAATATTCTCAGGGTGGGGTGGGGGGGTGGACTAAATTTTCCGGAAAGCGCTGACACTTACGGGGGGGGGTGGGAACTTAATATTCCGGAGGGCGCGGACACGTAAAAGAGTTTATTTTCCATATAACTTACATTTTGATCGGAGAGGGGGGCGGCGCAGTAGACTTTTTTCGAGGTCTTTGCCCCCCCCCCCCCCCCCCCCAAGAGATTCCTGATTTCGGCGCTTTCTCTCCTACATGGGTTGTGTCCGCAGTTAATGAACACCTTAATTAGCATTCTCTTTTAGGCATGTCTACCCCAATCCACCCCACCTCACTTCTTTCCCCTTCGGACGAAAATAATTTCTATAGAAAACCAGTGTCTGCTCCAGGAATATTAAGAGCGCCCCCTGGAAGTTTCAAGTGCCCCCCACCAAGGAGAAATATGTCTGAAAGAAACCCTTCCCCGGGAATCAGCTGAAAGGTTTTACAACCTGAGACAAAGTGGCAGATAATTCTAGTTTCAACTTACTGGAAGGTTTTAAGTAAAAGAAAACATTGCTTGTGGGTTGGCAACTTAAATAAGATCTAAAGTCATGGAACAAATAAATATAGTAGCCTACTTTTAGTTGTTTGTTGTTGTTTTTTTTAATTTGAATATTGACTTAATCTTATATCTTTATAAAAATCTTAGTATTGAAATATTAATAACGTTATTTTGTTTAGGGGGTCGTCCATAAATGACGTCACACTCGTAGGGGGGAGTCCGTAATTTTGTGACGGTGTGTGATGAGGAAGAGGGAGGGTCAGATCGTGCGACGTCACACTTTTGCATTATAAAAAAGCAATGTTAGAAAATGAATTTTAGACGTTATTTGGCGTTTTGGAAAACTGTACTAATAAACTGTAATAGGAATTGATTAAAATACTCTATTTTGACAGAGTTCAGATAAGATTTTGGAAAAATATCAATGTTTAAAAAAAAAAATCAATTGCAGTTTTGAGGGGGGGGGGTGGGTTGTAGACTGAGGTGTGACGTCATTTTATGGGGGGGGTCTGGCTTTTTGTGACGATGTGTAAGGGTGGGGAGGGGGGAAGGTAAAAAGTGTAAAAAAGCGTGACTTCATTTATGGATGACCCCTTAGCCAACCCCCCCCCTCCCCTTCAAAGTGTCGCTTGATGCCACATTATTCCTTAGTGTTGCCCACAGTGTTGCCTCCCCTCCTCCACTCAACCTAAGTGTCTCTCTATTAACCTATGAATGCACGTAGGTCAATTTCCACACACACCCTTTTCTACCGTTTCACAACACACAATATACATCACATACTTCAAAACCCAGCACCCCCCCCCCCTCTATCAAATTCCTAAACTATAGTAAAAAATTATCTTTAGACCTAGCAATCCACTGTGCAGATAAGAAGAGTTCATATGTTTCTGTGTGGTCAGCACTTTGGCTAGCCGCCTTTACTTTCCCTAACATGAGCCAGGTACCCATTAGAGCTGGATGGACTCAGGGACGGTCTAACCGGATTCAAATTCGACTTCTGTCTTAGCAGCCTAGCGCTCAACTGCTTATGCCACACTGTCCTAAACTATAATTATATTTAAAATTAACATATCTGCTGTCATTTAAAATTTTAAACTACATCTTCTTAGCATCTGCAAAGTCACACCCCTCCTACCCCACCACCACATACACACACAATTTTATTGTAATAAATGTACCAATTTTTAAAAAATGAGAACTATAAAATATATTACAAGAAATCATTTTGATCATTTCTAAAACTTCTTTTAAAAATACACACATTTCAATCAACTAATTTAAACATCAGGTATATGAGATCTCCAACATTCAATACATCGCGCATGTTTTCATTATTCAAATAAATATAGCATGTACATTATTATAAATCAATGTAAACATTGTGAGCACATGTTAAAATTCTGTGGTAAATTTAACACAATGTAAACAATTGTAGCTGCAGCAGAGTTCAGCATGTTTTAGTGGTTATTTTTGTTGTATATGTCATACAAAAATACATACATATTAAATAGTCTACAAATACACAGGGCAGGAATTTAACAACTGTATAAACATTGGAAATTTAGTTAGATAGTTAGACATAAAGTAGTTCTAACAGAAAAAATATATAATCAAAATGAAGGTAGAAAAACTAAAATAAAAACTGTTAAATTTAAATCCTTATTTTTTTACAATTGTTTATAAATAAATTTGTGAGTCATTAAAAAATATGTGATAGGGAGAAAAAATCAATTGGCTATAGCTTTAAATATTGAGGGCTTATATTTGTGTTTACAATAGGAACTAAATGCAATTTACAGGTTTATTTTATTTTAATACTGTGTAACACATATGGTTACCAGCCAGGGGAGGGAAAAATATGAAGTTTTAATTCATTGAGTTGCGGCCCCTGTGGGGTCGTGGCACTGTTGACTTAGTGTTTTTTCCGTGCTTTTGTGAGCGATGTTACCTGTGTCCCATGTCATGGGACTGTGTAGGTAGTTTCATGCCTAGCCGTGTCAGTCACACGCAAGGCTGCTGTCTGTGGACACGGTGACCAAGATGTAGACCTAATGAAGGTAGTTATATAGATTATGTTTGTTAAAATACTTATTTGTGTATTCCTGCTAGTGCTGCATGTGCACACTAGTTAGGGTGAGTATTAATATAAGTATTTATTTGTAGTACTACGTATTGGTACTTGTTGGCAGTACTGTGTACTGGCCAAAACATATGTTATTGTACCCGTGTATATTGTAGCCTACACGTGGTGTTGTCGTGAATGTAACTTTTTATTTACATTTGTTTTAGGGCTACAGTTTTAGTTTGTTTTCTTGGTTTCCTGTTGCTTCAGTATTTACTCTCGTCGTACTACTGTGTTGCATCGCCGTCATGGCTCGATGCTGTGAATAAAGGAGTACTTGACAACAACTGTCGGTGTCAGTGTGTTCTTAATCTCAGGGTCAGCCCGTCTTAACCACAACACCTCAGTGGGTAAAAGCATCCCCACTGAGTGAGGGTTACAACTGATTTCATATTTGTCATATATTTAAAAAAAATTTTAAAAAATTTCTTAAAGTAGTTGAATGAATTTTATTTCAATAGATAAAAAATTGAAATTGTTAAGTGTTAATTATAAAATTTGATCATTTCTTCGGGTATTATTTCAACAAAATGTATAACATATAACAAGAGAGAGTTACTTCATTTACATTAAAACATGTAGTTGTAGTGGTAGGTTCCTCAACATTTCTCCAAAATACAAACATTTGTCACAAGTAGCCCATAGGTTTTAAAAAAAAAAAATGATATTAACTGAAAATTATGTTTTTATTTAAATAACAATCTGTAATACATGCTCCCAAAAAAAAGTATGCAACCACAAACAGACAGTATGGTAAAAAGTGGGTAGAGGATTTTGTGCAATAAATTTTTTTGAGTATATAATTTGCATCTTTCTGACATTTACTTTTTTAAGAGTATGAAATTTGTGTACGGTTTGTTGTAAATGTACATTGTATTGTAGATTAATAACTTGCTAAGTAAAATTACAATTAAAATGAATTTAATTTTTACAATTCTTTTTCAGTTTAACAATGTATCATCCGATTAATAAATTATGATTAGAAAAAGATTATTCTTTTATAGTTTCAGACTATAGTTATATTGAATCTGTCAAATGAACCAAGTCTTAAATTTGTCTGATGAACCAGCAAGTCTTAAATTTGGTAGCAGTAAATCATTCTAAAGCAGCAAAACAACTGTGTCAACTGTTTCATCAGTGGCTAATACTATCTACAGCTAAAAAGATGTTTCTGTTTCCACTGAGCAGACACTGTCAGTCTCTACATCATATACTCCAAACACTTCAATGATGAGAGATCTGCACAAATAATGTCCTCAATGTAAATAAACCGGGAGTGATCTCCCCTAAACTTTCTCGAATATTCTAATATAACACTACGGGGGATGGCAACTCGGGATATAGACTTCTAGACATGATTTTTAATCCATTTTAAATACTCAAACTTTTTAAAATCGAATATAATCTCGTAGAAAAAAGAATTGCACACCAAGTGAACGCTAAATAAAGATGTGCATAATAGTGCGCAATATTATTAGTACTTTATAAATTTACATGCGTTTTTTGAGAAATCGGAAATAGCGTAAATAAATACTTCCGATCAACGGAAATTACGCAAAATTTGACAGAAGGTAGAGAATTAGATCTTTTACTCACATATCAAATTTCATTTATCTGTCTGAAATAGTACTCAAGTTATAGGCTTTTGAAAAATTCAAAGTAGAAAAAGTACCACTTCCGGTTATCGGGAATAGCTCAAAAGTTGATAGGGATCTACGATTTTGATAAAATACTTATATATGAAATTTCATCAACCTAGCTGTAACGGTACTCAAGTTATCGTGTTTACACACAGACAGACAGACACACAGACATACGGACAAGATTGCAAAATTATGTTTTTCCGTATCAGTGAGATGTAAAACGTCGAGATTTGTAAAAATCTCGATTTTTTTTTTGCACGATTACAAGACTTTCTCTATACTTCGTATATACGAGAAAGTAAAAAGTAAAGTTCCCTTTCAAATCTGATGGTCCGTGGGGTAGGTGAAGTAGGGCTCACCCATTTCTGTGATCTCGGCATATGAAGTGATAGTGTAGTCAGCTCTATTCCCAGCTGCCTTTACTTTCCCTAACATGAGTCAGGTACTCAATAGAGCTAGGTGGGCTCAGAGACATTTACAAACTTGAACCGGAATTCGAACTTGACACTTTTGGGTTTGCAGTCGTATGCTCTACCGTTCAACAACACCGTCCCACTGTCCAAATGCTGCTCTACTTTAATCCCCTCCAACGTAAGGGGACATCGTACCTAAGACACGGTTAGGTAGTCGCTGTTGACACATTCGTCATCTGTGTTCAACATTTCATAAATAAATGTCCCACATGACCTCGCCTTGAAATGTCGACACAGGAAAAATCCACCGCAACAAACCATCTGCCAAAGATTTTTCGAAATTGTTTTCATTTTAAATTTTAAAAAAAGTTCTTGCAATGAACAACAAACTTTACCTGAAGGGTTTTTAAGATCAATTTAAAACAGTGGGTGAAGTTGTCAGGAGTTATTGTCAGAGGCCTTTGTTCTAAGTCACTTCAAGTCATTTACATGAATGACAAGCTACTCACCACAAAAAAATAAATACCACTAATTAGCGTAGCACCGTAACGAAAGCCCATTTCCTCAATCAGAAAACCACCAAGCATGGGACCAATGAAAGAACTGTAAAATAAATAAAATAGGGAGATAACAAGAAAACCATTTTATTTATTTTGTGTGCTGTCATTAAATTTTGCTCAGCAAATGTATCATTTTATTAATATGTACAGCAAGCCGGAGTCTAGACTTACCCAAGGCAAAAGATTGAATTTAATAAACCAACAACAACACCATATGTGTCAATATTGTTTTCAAAACCAACTTCCCTGAGGATTCAAATTTAAGCAAGCGTTAATTCCCTTACATATTTTTTTTTTGCATTTTCAAGAATTCTGAGTTTAACAGGTCTATGGTAGAAAAAGGTATTATTTTTATTACTTTCCTCTTAAAACACTTTTAAATCAATTTTTAAAAAAAATTATTTATGATAGCTTTATTTTCAGGTTAGCAAATATTTCAAATTTTAGAATTGAACACAAAATTGGTGATCTCCCATTTGTTAAAATTAAAAGAAGTCATTTTTCATAAATTAAAAATGTTTTAATATCAAAATTATGTAACATGAACTAAAATTTAAATTCTAAGATAAAATTCTAGAGCATATAGATGGCTTGCATGTAATTCAGAAATGAGTTGATTTTCATAACAAAAATAACTTAGCGATGAGCATTAATGAAGAGTACTCAATGACTTACACTGCACCAATTAGCAAACAGTTCAATGCAGGAACAATAGCCAAGGCATAGAACATTCCTAATATTACAAGGCCTATGATAATTACCCACAATTCACTGTAAAGAGAAGTTGTATTTTTTTTATTAAACATGCCCAATAAATTTGCAACAAAGAATTATGTTATTAAAATTAACATTGTTTTTATATACATATCTCATTTAGCGACTTGCTAGTTATAATACCAGTCAAAGTTAATTATAATCTATATTGAATTGACTAGCTGCATTGACTTAAATATTATTGTCTGCCTAGTTACATTTTATATTTGGTGACTTATTAATTATATTACTGGTAAAAGTCAATTAAAATTTCTATGAAAATGTTTTGACTTAATTTTCATTTATTTTCATATAATATTGAATACTTTTTATCAAGGAAGTAGGATGATACTTAACCCAATCCAATAATTCAAATTTACACCCCTCAACTTAACTTTAAAGTACCACATAAAATAAGGTGTTGCGTTACAATGATTTCTTTTAACTAGGCTTTAGATTTCAATGTACAACTAGATCTACAGTGTAATGTAAAGTGATAACCCACCTAGGTAGAAAGGGGAGGTAAGGGCTGGGTCCAACAATAATGAGACCAATCCCACACATCAGGTTACCCAGTGTGATCAATGAACCATTGATATTCTGGAAATAAAAAATTGTATCATGGAACCACAAAATAAATTAAACTTTTAAGTTGCAAAATTTAAATTGAAAAAAAAAGCCATGTACCTTTTGAATTGTAGAAGTCTGAAAGTTAAAATTTTTCTATCCCCTGGGGTAGGAGAGAGGATTTGGGGCTTGTTTATTGTTTTATGTTACAATTGTTGTTTCAATAATTACAACAGACAAATAATTTAGCCAGCCACAACAAAAATTTTGTCTCCCCCTCTCTCTCTTTCCCCTTTTTCCCCCTCCCCCATCCCCAATTCAATACAAGTATTCATTAGAGGGTAACATGAAAGATGCTCAAAAGAAAACTGCGCAAACAAAAACAGCACACACACATTTTGTTTTTCTTAAATCGAGCATTTAAAGACATTAACCAAGTATTATCATATGTACATTGTAGCATAATAAAACTATTTCCACGAAATAGGACAAAATTAAAGTGTTTAATTATAATTAGTTTGAATTTCCACGCTTTTCCGTTTGCGCAGATTTCTGATTGCTGTATAATTCTGGGAACCCCATTAAAGTTGGGTAAAATCAGTGATATCATGGAACTGATGTGAAATTCAACTACTACACTCACATTTAATTATGTGTAGTAGGCCCATAATAGCAAAGTAAATTGGATAAGAGCGTAAGTGTAATATTATTTTTATGCTTTTAAAAACGGAAAGTGTGAAAACCTAAATAAACTTTCTATATGACTCACTAAAAGCTTTCTAGTAAAAATCAATCATAAACTGTCTTTTTAATCAAAGTACTGCACAAAACAGATCATACCTTAGAATCACTGATATATCCCCATATTGGCGAGGTAACTGCATACAGACATGGAGCTATAAAAAATATTAGCCCAATAATACCTGTTGATAAATCAAACTGTAATAAAAGAAAAAAGAATTGTTAAATGTATCTGTTTTTCTTTCATGAAGTTTTTACTATTTTATTTTATTAAGCAGAAAGATACAAATATTAAATTAAATTGCTAAAGATCTTAAAGTACTTAAAGAGAAATTATATTGTCATCCAACAAAGGGACAATACTGTGAAAGGCCAGCAAACACAAGAATTGAGCTCTAATAGTGATAATTGTGATGTGTCACAATTACATCGTGAAAATCTATATATTAAATATACCTACTAATACAAAAAAAAATTTAATTTATTACCCTTCTTTAACTTCAAGAAAACAATTTTAACAGAACAGTGATGATTTATTATTACCATATTGATCCTGGTTTTTTTTATCCATTATGGTAATGACAAGTCAGATTAAAATATTTAAAATAATTAAATCACCTGCTCCAAGTGTTTGGCCAGTGTAGGGTCAAGGAAAAAAATGCCCAGAGAACACATCATGATGCTCTGCCCAGTGAACCAGACCATTGGACTCTTTAACAAGGACAGGAAACTTGTTTTTCTTTCTTTCTCCAGTTCTGAAAGAGAGTTACAATGTAAAGCTTCAACAGGTCTTGATATTAAGAAAAGAACATCACATGCATGAATGTTGTAAGCAAAGATAGTTTTTTATGTAATACAATACTTAAATATAAATGTGATAAATGTTGAAAGACAACGTTATCAATGGTGTTATGGCTGAGAATTGGTTTTTTTTAAGAAGTACACATATCAAAAGACAGGCAGAGCTTCTCTACAATGCTTGCAAATTACCTTACTATAAGACTCACAATACCCAATACAGTACCCATCACACTGAAATATCTCAAAGTTTAATGAAATGAATGAAGAATAAAAATGATGAAACAAAATATCCTGATTAAAACTTCCTGTTGTGGTTTAGGAAGAAACTGAATATTCTAATCCCTGTGACTATAATAATAATTACAGATTTTTAAAAAAATATGCTTATCTATTCACCTAATAAATAAAAAATATATATCTTAAAGAGTGTTACCTTGTGGTTTAGGAAAAAACATGACTGTACCAATCCCTGTGAGTATATTAAGAGTTCCAACAACAAAGAAAGGCAACCCATACCCTCCTACCTAAAAGAAGTGTTTAAAATAGAAAATTAGATATTCCAGAATGCCTTTTAAGTTTACACTTTTTTTAATAGAATGATGCTGTTCTTGTGGTTTAAATCATTCAAATTAAATAAATTTGTAAGCCAAAAAATTTTGAGATATTTGATATGTGACCTACTTAGGTCTTATTTTTTTTATATAATTTAGTTTTTTGGTTTATGTAATCGACCTTGAGAGGATTGTGGCACAGTCACCAGTATTTTTCCAATAAAATTTAATTGGTTTTTTCGAACCTTGGTAGATCCTCGATCAATAGTCTTATGACTTTGGAGTGACCTCACCTGGTACTGAACTCATTTAAAAACCCGTGCACGAAAAGACTCGAGGCAGTCTTCTAAGATACACCTCGAGAGTGTGTGCCATGTATGTGACGCCATTTTGTGTTACATAGTTTGTAGCGGCAATTTGTCCCCTATTAATATTATTTGAGTTACTACTGCCATTCAGTGTTTTCAATAATATTCCTTTAGCTGTGTTTATTATCCAATGCCACATCTGTGATACCTAGTGATTTTTCATTAACTGGAAGTTAGAGTTTTGAGTTTATTTTTTGTACTCTTAGAGTCTGTACCATTTTGTATAGACCCTGTGTCATTTTTATTCTTGTACACATATTAAACAGTTGTTGACAGTTTAAAGTTGTTGTGATTCATTTCAGTTCATCGTGCTATTCCCCTAGATTTCATTAACGAGCCCACGTTGATTTGTTGTGTACTCATTAGTAGTTGACTTCTGTCAGTAGCCATCCTAAAATGAACCCGGGGCGTTCGCTAATTCTGCGGCTGTCAGAATAGCATTTGTAAGAGATATATTTATAGTGTTAAACAACAGGTGATGTCACTAGGTAGTAATGTGACACCAAACAGGAAAAGTGAAACTAACATGGCAGGTGCAATGTGTAAATATTTCTTGAGCATTCTGCTTTTGAGCTTTCAGGAAATTAGCTCTTTTGGTAGTAAGTCTTTTGGGTCATTAGTCCTAAAGCTAAATTCATTTTGGTAAATAGCTGTAAGCATACTGACCAATAATTTGACTGAATAGATTAAGGATTTTGTTTTACTGGCCTTTATTTTTCCTGGTAATATATCTGTGTTTCTTTTCACTTCTTATATATTGTTTTTATACAATGTTATGGTAAATACAATGTTATTACACTTAGAGAGGTTAATAGTTGTCAAAACTACCTCCCTTTTGTATACATTTAATTAAACACTACCAGCACATTTTTTTATCTCCCCTACCTGGTATAAAAAACCTCCCAGAGCAGGGCCTGTCATGAGACCTATCCCATCAGCCATCTCAAGCAATGCCTGCAATGTAAACCAAAGCTAACAATGATATTTTAAGCTATTGAAAGTATACTGTATACATCAATTATGGCAATAGAAGGTATTCAAATATATCTGTATTCAAAGATTTGTATTGGTCATGTTTAGAAAAACATAAATAATAGCAAACATTTACCACACTCCCAGGATAAGCGACAGAAACAGATTAACTTTATTTCAACTGTCAGGTTTTCAAGTCTTTATAAATTCATATTTTGATAGCTAAGAATATTTTTCAGTTTACAATAAATAAAATAACTGTCCCTTATTTATAATTGACTGAATGTAAAGATTTTAAAAAATTTTAAAATCTTTAAAATTATAAATTTAAAAATATATTTTTAAAAATTATTTTAAAACACCAGCATTTACAGTCTGCATGTCTTTCCTTTGTCAAAAATTGATGGGCTTAAAAGTAGTTGGCTTATTATTTAAAAACTAAATAACATCTTAGAAAGTAAAGTAACTAAACAACATCTAATACCGCGTTTACACTTGCGACATGTATACTATTCATGTCTAGAAAAAAAACTCCGCAATAAGTGAGTAGGCTCCCCTATTATCTTAGGCCCTATAGCGAAGTTCTTTTTTCTAGACATGTATTGTATACATGTCGCAAGTGTAAACACGGTATAAAAGATTTGCAGTGTTTAACTCACAAAAACAGTGGCAACATTTTGAGGGAACTCATTGGAGATGATTGTAAAACCCGATGCCATAAAAGCTGACGCGGCCAGAGCCTCGACACAACGACAAGCAAAACAAATGACGATGAAAGGTAATCCATGTGGACATCGGTCTAAGGTGCTAGAATGGAGTAGAAAAAATACATTTATGAATTATTTAGAGAATCAAGAACTGAAGGTTTTACAGTATGTATACGATGTAAAGAATGTTATCAACGTTATACAATAAAGGTATTTTATGTAAAATGTCATTTATATGTAAAACAGTTAATCAGTTTTGTTCTGAAATATAAAGAATTTTTTTTGGAGGAGGGGTGGAATTATTTCTTATGTCAATGATATTTGCTTCCTCCATATAATGTAAGAAACCCATTTATATGATACATATAATATGATACAACTATAACCTACTTGCAGACTGTAAAAAAAGTAGGGCCTACAACTCTTTTAAAAAAATATCATTAAAAGAAAGGAACTAACCCAAACAAAATGGAGCAGCTTCCAGCAACCAACTGGCCAGACACTAGCATAAACTTGGGTCCAATCTTGGTCAGCTGTTTAAAGACAAAATAGTTAATTTAACTTAATAGTCCATGTTAGGCAGCTATAGAAGGATGATGATTTTAATTAGTAATTCAGGTATATATTAATTTAGATATTTAGCAATTTGGGTACACTAATAGAAGCCAGTATAATTAATCAAAATAATTCTCTGAAAGTACAGACAATACACCATACATTAATTTTCTTTCAAGTATCCATGGACATTTCAAACCCCCCTCTCCCCTCCCTTCCAGGCACTTATCAAAACAGCGTAAGTCAATACGCTAACACTCTTATCAAAAAAATAACATAAGTCAATACGCTTACACCCTTATCAAAACCACACAATCCCTTTATGAGCTTAGGTCAAAGTAACCTAGGGAACAAAAAACACTTTTTTTTTATCAACAAAAGTAATGTTTTTGTTTTATTTTTATTTTAGATACATTAATACAAATTCTTACCACTTACATAGTTACCAAAGAATGGAGAAGAAATAAAGAACGTGTAATCACTTACATAGTTACCAAAGAATGGAGATGAAATGAAAATCATGAGCTCAAATGAACTGAAGATAAAACCTGTGACTGTGTTAGAAACACCTTTCTTTTCTGCCTGGAATGGAGTGAAAAGGATTTTGTAAACAACAGATCAATGCATGCATTTACTTTTATCTGTTTATTTGTACTAGTGGTTGAACATGACCAGTTAAATTTATTTCAAACAGTCATTATAAGTGTAGCATAATGTAAAATTCTGCACAGATTGTAAATAGACATTCTACCCGGTCAATGACTAGACATTCTATCCCCACTGTAAATAGGCATTCTAGCCACAGAGTTATGCGAATTCTGCTCCTATTAAAACAATATAACTATCATCACACAGACTGTGCATGTAGATTCATGTCCTTATCTGTAACTGTAACTAACTCTTTAAAAAAATAAACAAAAGCTCAATGAATACATGTTTCACATGCAATTATGTTTGTTATACTAGTAGAAAAGGTGTATAGCTCTGCTATATCCTAACTTCTCTCTACATTAACGAAACTGACCAATCCCTTACACTCTGCCCATTCTGACCTACCCATTGGGCCATTACCCTCGACCCCCTTTACATTTACAAAACTGACCAATCTATTACCCTCTGCCCATAACAAAACTGAACAACCATTACCCTCTGCCCATTAACAAATCTGGCCAATTCATTGCCCTCTGCCCATTAACAAAACTGATCAACCCATTACCCTCTGTACATTAACAAAACTGGCCAATCCATTACCTCTTGAGGAAAAAATGGTGCCAGCAAAGAGAAGCCACACCCACTGGCAAACATGGACAAAATCAAGAGGCCCACTATCAGCTTTTTCTTGTAGGGTAGCTTGAAGAGTCTAAATTTCTGCTCCAGACTTTTGTTTGAGGAGGTAGTAAAGTCAACAGAGGAAGTGTATGTGAGATTGACAGGTCCATCAGTAACTGACACCTGTCTGTGGGAGATTGTTCCATTATTTTGATGGCCTAAAACAAACAAAATCTTAACATTAACAATATCAAAAACATAAGATTTAAATAAGTTAATGTAATTATTCTAGTTTTTGTAGTTGTCATAATGGACAGTTAAAATTTTATACATTTAATTTTTTATATTTTTGCAGTGAGGTTTAGTAACGTGTAAAGCACTTAGATCTAGTAATTTTAATAATGAATTAAGCTTTTAAAAATAAACATTTTATAAAATAAATATAAAAGAAAAATTTAAAAATATCGTATACATAACAGTAAATAAAAAACATAAATGGTTGGAAAAATTAAGAATGAAATATTAAAGTAATAGGCCTACACATAAAAACACTTAAAATGGTAAATTAAAATTACAGTCCTGTGGAGAATATTTTATTCAAGCTTTTATATAATGTATCATACACACTTCTGATGTTTTCTTGTAAAAGTGTCTTCATATAAAATAAAGCTTACAGTTGACAGGCCCCTGATCATTCACTGCTCATGTATAATATTGAACAAGAAGACATTTGTCTTTGCATATAAATTAAACTCACTACGCCCTAATGACTTACTTTGTTCACAAGTTTATTTAAAACACTTTTTTGTGAGGTTCAAACTTTAACAAATGCTTTGGTATTTTAAAAATTTGTGACAGTCAAAAAAAAAAGGCTTAATTTTGTTTAGTTTTTTTAAAAATGTAGGCTATTTTAAATAAATATTAGGATCACATTTTTTTTTTAAATTTCACTTATCCTGAATACATAAATCTTGACTATATAAATTACTTTTTAAAAACTTATTATAGATCTAGATCTGATTATTGAACATTTTTGTTTTTTGCCTTTGTTTGTAAAAAAACTATGATTACCGGTAAGCTTTTTTACTTTCTCGTATATACAAAGTATAGAGAAAGTCTTGTTGTCGTGCAAAAAAAAAAAAATCGAGATTTTTACAAATCTCACAAATCTTGACGTTTTACACCACACTGATATGGAAAAACATAATTTTGCAATCTTGTCCGTATGTCAATGTGTCTGTCTGTGTGTGTGTAAACATGATAACTTGAGTACCGTTACAGCTAGGTTAATGAAATTTCATATATAAGTATTTTATCAAAATCGTAGATCCGTATCAACTTTTGAGCGATTTCCGATAACCGGAAGTGGTACTTTTTCTACTTTGAATTTTTCAAAAGCCTATAACTTGAGTACTATTTCAGATAGATAAATGAAATTTCACAAGTAAGTAAAAGATCTAATTCTCTACCTTCTATCAAATTTTGAGTGATTTTCGTTGACCGGAAGAACTAATTTACGCTATTTCCGATTTCTCAAAAAACGCATGTAAATTTATAAAGTACTAATAATATTGCGCATTATTATGCACATTTTGATTTGGCGTTCGCTTGGTGTGCAGTTCTTTTTTTCTACTAGATTTTATTCTATTTTTAAAAGTTTAAGTCAACAAAAATCATGTCTATATTCCAAGTTGCAATCCCATGTCGTGTTGTATTAGAATATTCGAGAAAGTTTAGGGGAGACCACTCCCAGTTAATTATTTTAGTAATAGTATTATAAATACATCTTTGCTTACATTATCATTTACCTTAGCACCATAGGTACTGATTCAAAATTACTTCCTGTTTCTGGTATTCATACTCAACACACACTTACTGTGTTTATGAATTAATTAGATTCTCATAAGAATCACTTAATAATACTAAATAAGGGAAGCTGATTAGGGGCCGTTAGTAATGATCTTAGTATTAATCTCTATCAGGTTGCCTTGAAAGCTACTGTCAATTGTCTATTTCTTAGCTGGATGACAGGCTATATCATTACATTAACTACTATTATACTAGTATGCATACTATACAACCAGAGGCGTAGCGACGAGGGGGGAGTGCGTGTCAATATGGGTTGAAAAAAAATTAAAAGCTCATTTTACCTGAAGTTTTGAATTATACATATAAAAATATATAGGCTATAAAATAAATAAATTGAAAGTTTGTCCCCGGTGTCGGGAGGGGTCACTACGCCTCTGTAAACTATTGAAATAAATACCAAAATAAATAATCCAAATTAAATTAGTTTTTGCTTTTAAAATATTCAAAATACAGTATTGTAAAGTAAGTAAAAGACAAATCTTCTTTGTCTCTATTAACTCACCATTTGGTGCATCTTTTGGTGGGATTAGTAAATGTGTTTCCTCATCCTGACTTTCTACATCTTCCATAATAAAACAACTGTAGTGATGGAAAAATTGTATCTCAATGCCTCCAAAATCTTCAATACTAACTTCACATTTCTTATCTCAAATTAAGATAATATATAAAACGAGCCGACCCGCTGCGTATCATACGCCGCTATTTAGTTGTTTTTTTTTCTACTTTTCAGTAATTTATAATTTGTGAATTCGGCAGTACCAATGCTGCCATTGAAAATATTTGCTTAAAAACACTAACCCCCCCCCCCCACGTGAAAGCAGCCTCCTCTTAGTAACCTCCTCTCAGTTTAAAATCGTTTCAAACTAAATTATCTGCCCCTAATAGCCGTCAATAAACCCGTCTCTATGATTGTAAAATGTACACAGAGTGAACACCGCTCACCAGATCATGTGGGGGTGGGGTGGGGGTGGTGATGATAGAGAGGAAGAGAGGGGACTGCAAAGGCGCGCTTGCAGCTTGTTTTCTAACTGATCCCAGAAGAGAATTATATATATAGATAATATAAAAATTAATAATCATTATGCTAATATATATGTAAAAACAAAAGGTATATTGAGGGGTTGTTTAAAATAAATAGCATGCCTTGTTTTTTTTTTGGTGTGTAGGTGGATGTCAGTTTAGTCCTATAATGGTGATATTATTAGTTGATGATCTTTAGTAGTAATGTGGTAGAAGTGATACAGTTCAAATTTTGTGACACTGTGTGACTGTGTGACAATTTAAGAGGGTGTAATAAATTGCAAGAGAGACAGGAAAAAAATTCATTTTTATTTAAACTAATGTGACTACAGGCAAAATGTGTGAAATTTGTAGGTGTGTGAAAAATGAGTCACTAGGGGTATTTCTGACAATATGTGAGTTGCACTTCAGTGAATGTGGCAAGACCGACCTAAAAGCCCCGAGATTGTTTATATTATTGTTTTGAGTTTATATTTAACTCAATGCAACAAGCCCGCCGGTTGGTTGAGGCCACGACGGGGGGACGTTCTGACCGGGATTCAAAGGGACGACTCGAAATATCATCCTTTTTTCCCACGCAGAGGAGAATTATATATATAGATTATATAGCGGTCTAAAATGCTCAATAAAATGTTTCCATTGATAAATTTAGTAATAATAACAATTGAATATTCTATGGTCATCCAAAAGAAAGCTTCCCTGAAAATTTCAGCGCGCTAGCTAACTGGGAAGTGCCAGAAATTTCGATCGCAAGATTTGATTGGAAAAACAAACAGAGAAAGCAAGTTTCCTCTTTAACTTGCTTTCTCTGTTTGTTTTTCCAATCAAATCTTGCGATCGAAATTTCTGGCACTTCCCAGTTAGCTAGCGCGCTGAAATTTTCAGGGAAGCTTTCTTTTGGATGACCATAGAATATTCAATTGTTATTATTACTAAATTGATCAATGGAAACATTTTATTGAGCATTTTAGACCGCTATATAATCTATATATATAATTCTCCTCTGCGAGCCATTAGAAAACAAGCTGCAAGCGCCTCCTTACAGTCCCCTCTCTTTCTCTCTACCACCCCACCCCACCCCCACATTGTCTGCTGAGCTGTGGTCACGTTAATGTTTACAAACCGTACAGCCAGGTTTAGTGACGGCTATTAGGGGCAGATAATTTAGTTTAAAACCGACTTTAAACTTACAGGAGGTAACTAAGAGGAGGCTGCTTTCACGGGGGGGGGGTCGGGGTTAGCGGAAAGGAGGGGGGTTAGTGTTTTAAAGCAAATATTTTCAGTGGCAGCATTGGTACTGTCGAATTCACAAATTATGAATTACTGAAAAGTAGAAAATAAATCAACTAAATAGCGGCGTATGATACGCCGCGGGTCGGCTCGTTGTAGTAAAAACGTGGGGAAAAAAGTGACATAACCCAGTAACTGTAATTTGTGTACAAACAACCGTAACAACTGGTGGCCAGTATGGGGGAGACGATATGGTTGAGTGGTTGGGCACACGATTGCTATCCCACTCGACACGGGTTCAAATGTGTTCTAATCAGTAACGTATTCACACAACGCGTTTTTTACGAGTTGTCTTTTTACGAGTTGTCTTCGTTTACCCAAAAAAAAAGTGAAAAGATAAAATCGATAGCAAGATTTTAATGCAAACAAACAGACAAAGACTAAAAAGTAGAAAATAATAATCATTAAAAAGTTTTAAAAAACCCACGTTTTCTGATTGAACTAAAAAGTAGAAAATAAATACTATACATCACAATAATGCAAGCGATCACTCTACTATAAGCGATGAAAAACGTGGGGAGCCGTGATTTTCTTACAGTTTCTAATACTGTTGACTCTCTACAAGCTCCCTAATAAAAGTCAATAGTATTATCTAATCAATAGTAATATAATTTTTACTTCGGCGCCCCACGTTTTTCATCGCTTATAGTAGAGTGATCGCTTGCATTATTGTGATGTATAGTATTTATTTTCTACTTTTTAGTTCAATCAGAAAACGTGGGTTTTTCAAAACTTTTTTAATGATTATTATTTAAATCTAGGCTTACCTGGCAGTGTTTTAATTTAATCTCAGCCTGAGTAGAGAATAGTAGAGATCCTAGATCTAGATCTCTAATTCCCATTTAATGAAGTGGGTACTGATTATAATTATATCTAGATCTATTCAATTTCAATATTCACTCAGTATTGCTCTACCACCAACTACAAAAATCCCTGGACGATATTTAATCTACAACACACTGCACTACACACACAATCCCCTTTTATTTATTGACAGCATTAGCATGACCCTACTGACTTAAATCTAGATCTAGAGTTCTAGATCTAGATCTAGATCTAGCAATATCCTAGATCTATATTGGGCATTATTGGGCCATAGGTCTAGACTTGGCTGAGAATTTCCATTCAAAATATTAACCTGGCAATGACTTGCAGTACGGAGTTGTCAAAAATAGCAGACCACATTCATCATTCATGACACGACAAATTCCATAACAAAACGCAGGTTGACCATGTTTATTGTTTAACGTCATTTTATTTTTCCACCAATTCATGGAGATGGAATAACCAAAACGTATTAAGTTACACTTCCAAGTAATATAAATAAATTTATGATGTAGGGGAAGTAACTAAGATAATTTAAGTTGTTTTTTTGTTACTTCCCTTGGACAGTAGATATGTTTCTAGAATCGAAGACGTTTTTATTTAATCAAATCATGTTCGGGGTTGTTTACCGATTTGTTATACTGTTTTATATGGATTGGGCCAGTCTTTGAATAACGACACACTATTTTAGATTATTTTTATGCCACAACAGCCTCATGTCACATGTCTTCACAAAATGTCCGACCTTCCCCTCCCTTCACTATAACGTTCCTTTCATCGTATTCCGCAAAATAAAAATAAATAAAGATAAAGCTAACCTAAACTAACACGTTTTCCATATATTCAAAATAAATGTTGCGCCACGTATCGTAACACCCCTCCCCCATCTCCCACTCCATTTCCACCGTGAATGTTGTAACCAAATACAAGAGAAATCATAGCAAGATTATAATAATTCATATGCTCGTTATTTACAACAATAACAAATAATAATACTCATGACAGATACAGATATGTATGACAACTTACATAATAAATAATGTTGCTGTATAAAGCTCTACTCTTTAGTTATCCAAATCATGAAAGACACAATACGAGTAGAATTAGGAAAGTCTGTATTTGCTGAAACTGTAAACTTAACATTACATCGTGATTGTGCAATACCGATCCCAGGTCAAGCAGACTACACGTTTTTATGATTCTAGGTGTATCGATACCAACAGCGTACACTTTAAAACTATTGGATGTTAGTCCCTTTTTTCCCTTACTTGTAACTGCATAATCAAATAGCAGTAATTAATTTTTAGCCCCTTAATTTTACTAAACTAGACACAATATTAAAATACTAACACTATAATAATAAATTCGGTTCATTAGCTCAATGCAGTAAGGCTATACTAATATCTCAACTCTGGTTGGTAAGCTAATGTTTCGCTACGATGTAAAACAAAATTAAAGTTCATTTTGAAATACAGAGCCTGGTGGTCCATTGGGAAGATGAACTTCGCCTGTTACCATGACCCAGTAGCGTAGCGCGGGGGGGGGGGGGCATATGTCCCCGGGCGCCGACCTTAGGGGGTGCTAAAATGGGTCGAAAATTAAAATGAAAGCTTGAGGGGGTGCAAATCGAAATCTTGAGGAGGAGGGGGGGGGGGTGCAAATCGAAAGTTTGTCCCCGGGCGCCGGGAAGGGTCGCTACGCCTCTGCCATGACCTCTGCATATGAATGGAAGGTGTGGTCAGCACTGTGACCAGCCACCTTTACTTTCCTAAGTCAGATACTGTACCTATCAGAGCTGGTTGGATTACTGACTAAAGCATGGAATCCAAATAAGTTTACAGTCATAAGCTATTTCTTCAATCACGCCATCCCATTCTTCTCAGAAATGTAGAAATAATACAGACATAATTAGCCTAAACATTATTTCTTTTAAACTCTTTAGAACTATGTAAGATGTATACAAATATTTTAAATACAATTTATTATTCAAATCACAACTGTTTCCTTAAAATTTTATATTCCAAGCCTTCAATGTAATACACATTTTGCAGCATTTTTATTTAGATTTTTTAAAACTAATTCTTATAAAAATACAAAATGAAGATTTCATTTGTTGTATTGTTTTATTAAAGTCAACATAATTAAAACAAAACAATGTTAATCAAATAACAGAGTGGTTAATATTGGTTGGTTTTTTAATTAGAAGATAAATTTTTCTAAAATTTAACATTAATGTATAAATAAGTTATCAGTATACAAATCTCATCACATTTTTATATAAAACAACAAATTTGAGTAGAAAACAATATAAGCATGTACATAACATGTAAGTTAAAATTATTTTAGCCAGTTATTATGTAGAAAAAATCTTTCAAGCATTGGCATGTACAAAGATAGTTTACTTTAAATATTTGAGCAATTAAAGTATTTGTAAACAAGATTTTTGTGATTTCAAATGTTAATGTCATATTTCATTCACCCTATTAACACTACAACCATATTTAACACTGATTCAATCAGTGATTGTGCATAATTTAACCCTTTTATTGCAACATTAATGTTATAACTAATTGTACAAGATTTGTAACCCTTATAATGCCACAACATAATGTTATCACAAATTGTGCCAAATTTTTAACCCGCGTACTACCACAAAATTAATGTTATTACTGATTGTGCCTAATTTACTCCATATAAAAGTACAATGAAGTTAAAACAGATTGTGCTGATTTTATGACATTTTTGTGCTCTAGAACTGGACAATTCTTTACTAGCTCACTGACTAACCTGTTTGGAAAAAAAAATAAAAATAAACAATTACTGGATGTTTATCCTGATTAAAGCAGTAAAAATACTTTTATTGTGATTTATAGAAATAGATTAACCATTGATTAATTAGTCATAATTAAATAAAAACTCTATTTGCCCCCTATGGACTTTAAGGTTGGAAGAAATATTAGAACCCACAACCCTGCTAATCATAGGTTTATTGATACATCTATATGCATGCGAACAAGACACAGAAAATTAGTGTTGATCAACATGATTACCTTGAATCTCCTAGACATACATCCTTATATACAAAAACTTGTACTATGGGTGGAAAGTGTTAAACAGACATCAAACATGGGCAGAGGTCTGTCTTTCAAACATCTGTCCATTTGCATGTTGACCTATGAATGAGACAATAAATGGTTTCTAAATCAATTCTAGATCAATTTAAATACATATAGGTGTGCTTATTTGTTTAACCATCAACTGCTCTACATTAAGTCTACAGTAAGATTATTTTGAACAGATATCTATAAGTTGGCCTAATAAAGCCATTAATGATTATATCTCAAGTCTACAGGATGTTCTGTCTGACAAATAGGTGTCCATATCCCTTCAGTAATTTAAAACCCTGTGTCCAGATTTTCTCAAAAATAACAGTTCAAATTATCAGACAATAAACTAAATCTTAAATCATGATTAGAACTAAATATCTACTAATTAAAAATGAAGCATTATTTTCAACTTTACTGTGGCAGATATTTACTAAACAAAATGTGCTTCTTATTTTGGCATAATAGGTTATAATAATTAACAAATAACCTACTCTGAGCTTTTGTCTGCTGATTTGTTTCCTTATTCAAGTCCCTCTCCCTGGACTCTAGTAAACTTTCTCTGTTCAGTTGATTTTCAGAAACAGTGCTGTTGTAGCGAACACACAAGTCTTTTTTATATGCTTTCCTTGTTAGTCGGCGTATTAAAAAATATGCACTACAGCTTAGAATCTGAAATTTTAGTTTCATTCTTTAGAAATTGTCAAAAAGGATAATATATTTATTATATATTCTCTCCTGTAGCTGAACCTTTACAAACTGGGACAGACAGCAATTCTGAAGTTACAAGTTGTGAATCTTGATTAAAAGTCCTGACTACAATAGGAAATAATTTACAGCTCCCAAAATCGTTGCTATCATCTGTAGAAATGGTGAAAGGACTCGATTTCATCCTTAAAGCTAAAGACATTGTAGATTTTGCAGCTATTTCTTTAACTATGGCTGTCCTTTCGATCTCCCACACTGAAATTGTTTAGCAACTTTATCTTATTTGAACATTAGTTTAAAATAAATGCTTTAGAAAATTTATCTAATGAAGCAAGTGGCAAATTCATTTCAGTAACTAGATCAACTAGCATATCTTCAGCTTTTATAACATCATTGATTGATTTTTTTAGGCTTAGTCGAAGTAAAAAACAATTCATCTTTTTTTTTATTCTTTGACTAAGTTTGACTAGATCTAGCTTAGCTAGCTCCACGTGTTTTGCACTTGCATTGTGCTTGGTAATGTCGTACTTTCCTCCATATTTTATTTTAAACTCATAATTACAAATCTCACAATGAGCATTTGTTTCGCAATTCATTCCTTTTTTTGATAAAAGGAAATTCTTCCGAATATTCCGTTCTGAAGCACTGAACACGTTTTTTTGACGTTGGAGGGGATTCCCCGATCTCGGATAATGAACGTTTCGGTATTTTTCAACAAGGAAACGGAAGTAAACAGGAAACGCCGTTCACTTCCGTTTTCTGGGGGGAAATTCGCATTTTTGCTGATAATTTTCTTTTTCCTTTTTTTTAAATAACTTTTTTGATTATTTTCGAAAAGAATTCGGAACAAAACGAGTCCAAGTCGGAACGGCGGAACAAATTACTTTTGAGGGTAAAAAAGCGGAACGGTTCCGATTTTGGCGGGACGGTAGGCATGTCTGGGGTAGGGATGGCCAAGCTGCGTGGTGTCTCATATGGTTCCCATGAAGAGAATTATATATATAGATAGATTAACATATGTGCTATCATTTAAAATTTTTAATTGCATCTTTTTAGCATCTTCCTAGTCACACTCCTCCTCCCCACTATCACATACACACAGTTTTATTGTTACAAATGTACCCATTTAAAAAATAACAACTATAACAAATATTACAAGAAATCATTTTGATCATTTCTAAAACTTCTTTTAAAAATACACACATTTCAATCAACTAATTTAAACATCAGGTATATGAGATCTCCAACATTCAATACATCGCACATGTTTTCATTATTCAAATAAATATAGCATGTACATTCTTGTAAGTCAATGTAAAAATTGTGAGCACATGTTAAAATTCTGTGGTAAATTTAACACAATGTAAACAATTGTAGCTGCAGCAGAGTTCAGCATGTTTTAGTGGTCATTTTTGTTGTATATATCATACAAAAATACATACATTAAATAATCTACAAATACACAGGGCAGGAATTTCACAACTGTATAAACAATGGAAAGCTAATTAGATAATTAGACATAAAGTAGTTCTAACAGAAAAAATATATAATCAAAATGAAGGTAGAAAAACTAAAATAAAACTGTTAAATTTAAATCCTTATTTTTTTACAATTGTTTATAAATAAATTTGTGAGTCATTAAAAAATATGTGATAGGGAGAAAAAACAATTGGCTATAGCTTTAAATATTGAAGGCTTATATTCGTGTTTACAATAGGAACTAAATGCAATTTACATGTTCATTTTATTTTAATACTGATTTTATATTTGTCATATATTTTTTTTAATGAAAAATAAAATTTCTTAAATAGTTGATTGAATTTTATTTCAATAGACAAAAAATTGAAATTGTTAAGTGTTGATTCTAAAATTTGATCATCTCTTCAGGTATTATTTCAACAAAATGTATAACAATTAACATATAACAAGAGAGAGTTACTTTATTTACATTAAAAAATATAGTTGCAGTGGTGGGTTCTTCAACATTTTTCTTAAATAAAAACATTTGTCACAAGTATTTTTAAAAAAAAAATGATATTAACTGAAAATTACATTTTTATTTAAATAACAATATGTAACACATGCTCCTATAAAAAAAAAAATTATGCAGCCTTATACAGACAGTATGGTAAAAAGTTGGTAGAGGATTTTGTGCAATAGATTTGTTTGAGTATATAATTTGCATCTTTGAGACATTTACTTTTTTAAGAGTATGAAATTTTTGTACGGTTTGTTGTAAATGTACATTGTATTATAGATTAATAACTTGCTAAGTAAAATTACCAGTAAAATGAATTAAATATTTACAATTATTTTTCAGTTTAATAATGTATCATACGATTAATAAATTATGATTAGAAAATAGAGTAAAAATATACACCAAATCCTTCACTGTTGATAGATCTGCACGAAAGACTTGTCCTCAATGAAAAAGTAATGTTCCATTTCAAACTTAATGGTCAATGGGCAGGTGAAGTAGAGCCCACCTGTTTCTGTGACCTTGGAATATGAAGGGATAGTGTAGTCAGCTCTATGTCCAGCTGCCTTTACTTTCCCTAACATGAGTTAGGTACCCATTAGAGCTAGGTGGGCTAAGCGACATTTACAGACTTGAACCGGAATTCGAACTTTAAACTTTCAGGTTTGCAGTCATATGTTCTACCATTCGACAACATTGTTCCACTGTCCACAATGCAGCTTTACTTTAATCCTCTCCAACCTAAGTGGACATCATACTTGAGACATGGTTAGGTAGTCACTGTTGACACATTCGTCATCTGTGTTCAACATTTCATAAATAAATGTCCCACATGACCTTGCCTTGAAATGTCGACACAGGAAAAATCCACCGCAACAAACCATCTGCCAAAGATTTTTAGAAATTGTTTTCATTTTAAATTTTAAAAACAAGTTCTTGCAATGAACAACAAACTTTACGTGAAGGGTTATTAAGATCAATTTAAAACAGTGGGTGAAGTTGTCAGGAGTTATTGTCAGAGCGACCACCGACCAATCCTGATCCAGATAGAAACATCAAACAGGCCAATTGAAGCCTACCCCCGCCCTAGATGGAACTACAAAAAAGCTAATTGGGAGCTCTTCTCTTCCCTCACAGACTCCTACACAAGACCAATCAACTGTAAAACCAAACAGGTGAACAAGTCATACACAGCCTTCTCAAAAGCAGTTCTGTTAGCAGCCAAAAAATCTATTCCAAGGGGAGCAAGGAAAAATTATATCCCAAACTGGACTCCAGACCTCCAGATACTCCATGACGAGACAATTGATGCTAGAAACATTGTTGAAGAAAATCCCACTGTAGAAAATAACATAAAATTAAAATCAGCAAACGCAGTCTTTAGAAAAAAGTATCTAACTGCATTGAGGAAAAGCTGGCAAGAAAAAACAGAACACCTCAATGTAGATAGAGATGGTCATAAACTATGGAGTATTGCAAAAAGGCTAAACCAAGAAGAAAACAGAGCTACTCCCATAGTCATCGACATTGAAAACACGATCAAAACAGAAAAGGATGCAGCAAAAGAATTTATAACCCACTTCAGCAAAGTGGGACAAATAAATATCAGCCACCATAGAGTAGAAGAGGTTAAAAATCAAACTGAAGTTAAAGAAAAACTACAGAAAGTCTCTCCCCCCTCCTCCACTGGAATGGTAGCTCGAATTAGCAAGAAGGAGCTCGGAGAAGCAATGAAGCTCCTCAAACTTAAGCAAGCTCCAGGCCCTGACAAAATCTCAAATGATATGCTCATGCACTTGGGCCCCAATGCTAAGAAAAAACTGCTCCAAATATTTAATGCAAGCTGGAAATCTGGGAAAATCCCAAATATTTGGAAAAAAGCAATCATGATACCTGTTCTAAAAATAGGAAAACCCAGGAACAAAGTCGATAGCTATCGCCCAATAAGTTTAACAAGCTGCGTTTGTAAACTGATGGAAAGAGTAGTAAACAACAGACTGACCTGGTTTCTAGAATCGAACAATCTACTAGCAGACGAACAGGCAGGCTTCAGGAAGTGCAGATCTACTGAAGACCAAATCACCTTCATTTCTCAGGAAATAGAAGATGGCTTTCAAGAAAAAAAACCAACCTCAATAGTGTGGGTCGACTTTGAAAAAGCCTTTGACAAGGTTTGGGAGCAAGGCTTAATTCTAAAGCTAATAAACCATCAAGTATCTCATAACATGCTAAACTGGATAAAAGGTTACCTAAGCAACCGAAAAGCATCAGTCTCCATGCAAGGAAAAAGAAGTCACACAGTAACTATAAAAAATGGAGTCCCTCAAGGAGGAGTCTTGTCTCCTACTCTCTTCCTCATTTATATAAATGACTTAAATGAAAACATCCCAAGGAGAGTAAAAAGAAGCATGTTTGCAGACGACCTTTCACTAATCAGCACAGAGGAATATATTGGTACCTCAAAATTTCGTCTTCAAGAAACACTTGACAAGCTCGGCAAATGGACCAAAAACTGGGGCTTATCCATCAATACCAAGAAAACAACTTATTCAATCTTCACCTTATCAACTAAACATCAAAAAATGAAACTTACCCTAGAAAACCAAGAGCTAGAAAAAAATGACCACCCCAAATACCTAGGAGTCACTTTTGACACTCGACTTACCTGGAGAAAACAAATAGAAAACACACAAAATAATGGGATCAAAAGACTTAATCTAATGAGGAAACTGGCAGGAACAGACTGGGGAGCAAATCACCACATCCTGAAAAAAACCTACACCAGCTATGTGAGACCTACGTTAGAATATGGTGCTTCGGCTTGGGGCTCAGCAGCAAAAACAAATATTAGCAAAATTGACAAAGTTCAGAACATTGGTTTGAGAATAATGACAGGAGCCATGAAAACAACACCCATAAATGCTATGGAGGAAATAGCCGCTCTTAGCTCAATAGAAGAAAGAAGAGAATCAAAAATCCTCACTCATTACACAAAGCTAGAGGCACTGGAAAACCATAACCTAAAACAAAAACTCCAGAAACCCAGTCCATCAACCAGACTACAAAGAACAAGTTTCATCAAAGAAGCAAAGAATCTGAAAAAGAAATATGAAATCGAAAATATCATTCCTGAAGCAATAAAAACTCAAAACCTCTCCCCGCCTTGGATCTCCCACTGTCACTTAACCATTATTGACTCAATAGACACCATAGGAAAAAAATCTGACTATGATCTAGAAGAACTTAAGAAAATAACAAATAAACACATTAAGGATCAGTACCCCAGCAATACCTGGATTAGAGTTTTCACAGATGGCTCAGCTGAAGATGCCACAAAAAACGGCGGGGCTGGCATCCTTATTGAATGGCCAAGCGGAAAAAGCCTGGAAAAGGCAATAGCCACAGGCAGCCTATCCGACAATTTTAGGGCAGAAAAAGAAGCTTTAGAACACGCAGCAAACCTCCTGTCAGAACACCCTGAATCACCGAATAGTCAGATTGTATTTCTTACAGATGCCAAATCAGTCCTGCAATCCCTACAAAATCCGGAGGCCTATATTCAAACACTCATGACAGCACTAGAGAGGCTAAAAAATACCTGCAGCAGAATTGTGCTGCAGTGGATCCCGGGCCACTGCCAGATCCAGGGTAACGAGATCGCAGACCAGCTGGCAAAAATTGGGGGAAAGAAACCACAACCGGAAATTTCGCTACACCCAAAAGAAATAAAAAGAATAATTAAACACAAACAAACGCAAATGTGGTCTGTCACACACCCTCACTACATTAAAGACGACGGCTATTACAATTTAACACGAAAACAACAATACATAATCTTTCGACTTAGAACAGGCCACAACAGACTAAATCAACACATGCACAAAAAACTGAAGGTTGGGTGTAGCGAAATGTGCCCTTGTGGCAAGGCCCCGGAAAACACGGAGCACGTACTCCAGGATTGTACTCTGTATAGCCAGGCAAGAGGCAGACACTGGCCCCAGCCCACCCCACTCAGGGAAAAATTATATGGGACACCTGACAAACTGGAAACCACAGTCCGGTTTGTCCATGAAGTTGGACTTGTTGTCTAATTCCTCCACCATAATCAAAAATTAAGAACGAAGAAGAAGAAGAAGAATTGTCAGAGGCCTTTGTTCTAAGTCACTACAAGACACTTACATAACTGACAAGCTACTCACCACAAAAAAATAAATACCACTAATTAGCGTAGCACCATAACGAAAGCCCATTTCCTCAATCAGAACACCACCAAGCATGGGACCAATGAAGGAACTGTAAGATAAATACAATGTTTTTTTGTTGTTATCTCCCTTTTTTATGTGCTACACTTAGATTTTGCTGAGTTAATGTATCATTTTTTTTATATTTATACATCAAAGTGTGAGTCTAGACTTACCCAAGGCAAAAGATTGAATTGAACAAACCAACAACAACACCATATGTGTCAATATTGTTTTCAAAACCAACTTCCCTGTGGATACAAGTTTAAGCAACAGTTAATTCCCTTACATATTTTTTTTTGCAATTTCAAGAATTCTGAGTGTAACAGGTATATGGTAGAATAAGGTATTATTTTAATAACTATCCTCTTAAAACACTTTTTTAATTATTTATGAAACCTTATTTCAGGTTAGCAAATATTTCATATTTTAGAATTGAACATGAAATTTAATGGTAAGTTATCCCCCATTTGATAAAATTAAAAGATGTCATTTTCCATTAATCAAAAATGTTTTAATATTGAAACTATGTAACATGAACTAAAAATAAAATTCTAAGATAAAACTAAATCATAAGCAATTTAAGTGGCTGCAGGCAATTCAGAAATAAGTTATTTCTCTAGACAAAAATAATTTAGCAATAAACATTAACAAAGAAAGTTCTCAATGACTTACACTGCACCAATCAGCAAACAGTTCAGTGCAGGAACAATAGCCAAGGCATAGAACATTCCTAATATTACGAGGCCTATGATAATTACCCACAATTCACTGTAAAGAGAAGTTGTATTTTTATTATCAAACATGTCTAATACTTGCAACAAAGAATTATGTTATTAAAATTAACATTGTTGAATTGACTTGAATATCATTGTTCGCCTATTATATGAATTGTTTCTATATACATATCTCATTTGGTGACTTGCTAGTTATATTACCAGTCAAAGTTAATTATAATCTATAATGAATTGATTACCTGAGCTGACTTAAATATCAATTATCATGGTCTGCCTAATTACATTTTATATTTGGTGACTTATTAATTATATTACGAGTCAAAGTTAATTATACCTCTATGAAAATGTTTTGAGTTTTCATTTATCTTCATATAATATTGAATTATTTTTATCAAGGAGGTAGGATTGTACTTAACCCAATCCAAAACATTCAAATTCACTAAATTTAACCTTAAAGTACCACGTAAAATAAGTTGTGACGATACAGTGATATCTTTTAACTAGGCTTTAGATTTCAATGCACAACTAGATCTACATGACTAATGTAAAGTGATGACTCACCTAGGTAGAAAGGGGAGGTAAGGGCTGGGTCCAACAATAATGAGACCAATCCCACACATCAAGTTGCCCAGTGTGATCAATGAACCATTGATATTCTGGAAATAAAAAATTGTATCATGGAACCACAAAACAAATTAAACTAATGTTGCAAAATTGAACTTTTAAAAAAAAAATCTACTTTTTTAATTTAGTCGTCTGAGTATACATTTTTTCTGTCACCTGGGGTGGATGTAAGGATTTGGAGGTTGTTTTCATTGTTCCATGTTACAGGTTTCATTAATTACACATGTCAAATAATTTTGCCAGCCATAATTGTCATAAAATTTGTCTTCCCTCTCTCACTTTCCCCTGCCCATTTTAAATACAAGTACCCATTCGAGTTGGGTAAAATCAGTGATACCATAGAACTGATGTGAAAGACAATTACTGTACTTACATTTAATTAAGTATAGTAGGCCCATAATAGCAAAGTAATTTGAATAAGAGCGCAAGACTAACATTATTTTTATATGTAGCTTTCAAAACTGGAAGTGTCAAAACCTAAATAAACTTTCCATGTGACCTACTAAAAGCTTTTTTTAGTGAAAATAATTCATAAACTGTCTTTTTAGTCAAAGTCCCACACAAAGCAGATACATACCTTAGAATCACTAATGTATCCCCATATTGGCGAGGTTATTGCATACAGACATGGTGTTATAAAAAATATTAGCCCAATAATACCTGTTGATAAATTAAACTGTAATAGAAGAAAAAAGAATGTCAATGTTTATAAATTATTTAATTTCTCTTTTTTTTTCATGAAGTTTTTTTATTATTTTTTGTAATAGAAGAAAAAAGAATGTCAATGTTTAGATTGTTTAAATTCTCTGGGTTTTTTTTCATGAGGTTTTTTATATTTTTTTGTAATAGAAGAAAAAAGAATGTCAATGTTTAAATTGTTTAAATTCTCTGGGTTTTTTTTTTCATGAAGTTTTTCATTATTTTTTCTAATAGAAGGAAAATGAATGTCAATGTTTAAATTGTTTAAATTCTCTGTTTTTTTTTCATGGAGTTTTTTATTATTTTTTGTAATAGAAAAAAAATGAATGTCAATGTTTAAATTGTTTAAATTCTCTGTTTTTTTTTCATGGAGTTTTTTATTATTTTTTGTAATAGAAAAAAAATGAATGTCAATGTTTAAATTGTTTAAATTATCTGGGTTTTTTTCACGAAGTTCCTATTATTTTATTATATTAAGCAGAGAGATATAAATAATAAATTAAATTGCTAAAGATCTTAAAGAGAAATTATATAGTCATGCAACACAGGGACAATCCTGTCCAAGGTCAGCAAAAACAAAAATAGAACATGAGCCCCAATAGTGATAATTGTGATATGTGTCACAATTACATGATGAATATCTGTATACTAAATATGCCTAGTAATACTAAATTTAAAAAAAAATGTATAACCCTTTTTTAGCTTCAGGAAAACAATTGTAAAAGAACAGTAATGATTTTTTATTACCATTAAAAAAATTTGATCCTGGTTATCTGACCATTTATGGTAATGACCAGTCAGATTAAAATATTTAAAATAATTAAATTACCTGCTCCAAGTGTTTGGCCAGTGTGGGGTCAAGGAAAAGAATGCCCAGAGAACACATCATGATGCTCTGTCCAGTGAACCAGACCATTGGACTCTTCAACAAAGACAGGAAACTTGTTTTTCTTTCTTTCTCCAGTTCTGAAAGAGAGTTACTATGTAAATCTTCAACTGGTCTTGATGTTAAGAACAGAACATTACAATCATAAATGTTGTAGTTTTTTATGTAATACAATACATAAATATAAATGTGATAAATGTTGAAAGACAATGTTATCAATGGTGTTATGACTGAGAATTGTTTTTTTTTAAGAAGTACACATATCAAAAGACAGGCAAAGCTTCTGTACAACACTTACAAGTACCTTAATATCAGACTTACAATACCCAATACAATACCCAACACACCGACTTATATCCAAAAGTTTAATGAAATGAATGAAGAATATAAATGATGAAACAAAATATCCTGATTAAAACTTTCTGTTGTGGTTTAGGAAGAAACTAAATATTCTTATTACTGTGACCATAATTACAGATAAACAAAATACATCTTGGGCTGATTAACTATTCACCTAATAAACTGACCAATAACCAAAAAAAGATTTTAAAAAGTGTTACCTTGTGGTTTAGGAAGAAACATGAATATACCAATCCCAGTGAGTATAATAAGAGTTCCAACAACAAAGAAAGGCAACCCATATCCTCCTACCTAAAAGAGGTTTAAAATAGAACATTAGATATCCCAGAATGCTTTTTAGTTTACACTTTTTTGAATAGGTGGGTGCTGTTCTTGTGGTTTAAATATTTCAAATGACAATAATTTAGTAAGCCTTCAAAATTTTCTGAGATAATGTTAAATATATATTTGGTGTTAAACAATAGGTGGTGATATCACTAGGTGGTAATGTGACACCAAACAGGAAAAGTGAAACTAACATGGCAGGTGCAATGTATAAATATTTCTTGTGCAACCAGCTTTTGAGCAACTGGCTTTTGGGATGTGGGCTCTTTGAGTAGTAAGTCTTTTGGGCGAATAGTCCTGAAGCTAAAAATATTTGGGTAAATAGCTATCAGCATAATGACCCAGAGCTTGCCTGAATAGAATAAGGATTTTTGTTTTACTTATCTTTATTTTTCCTTGTAATATATCTGTGTTCCGTTTTACTTCTCATATTTTGTTTTTGTTTTATACAATGTAATGGTGGGTAAATATTATTTACTGAGAGAGGTTGATAGTTGTCAAAACTACCTCCCTTTTGTATACATTTAATTAACACTACCAGCACATTTTTTATCTCCCCTACCTGGTATAAAAAACCTCCCAGAGCAGGGCCTGTCATGAGACCTATCCCATCAGCCATCTCAAGCAACGCCTGCAATGTAAACCAAGGCTAACAATGATATTTTAAGCTATTGAAAGTATATTGTATACATCACTTATGGCAATAGAAGGTATCTGTATTCAAAGATTTGTATTGGTCATGTTAAGAAAAACATAAATAATAGCAAATGTTTACCACACTCCCAGGATAAGTGACAGAAACAGATTAACTTTATTTCAAATGTCAGGTTTTCAAGTCTTTATAAATTCATATTTTGATAGCTAAGAATATTTTTAAGTTTTTTACAATAAATAAAATAACTGTCCCTTATTTATAATTGACTGAATTTAAAGGTTTTAAAATTTTAAAAATATTAAAAATGATAAACTAAAAAAATTGATATATGTTTTTCTTTTAATTGGTTATTGTTTTTTTTTTTTTAAATTACAAAAATGTGAAGCTGCATTATTTTAAAACACCAGCATTTACAGTCTGTGTGTGTTTCCTTTGTCAAAAATTGATGGTCTTAAAAGTAGTTGGCTTATTATTTAAAAACTAAATAACATCTTAGAAAGTAAAGTAACTAAACAACATCTAAAAGATTTGCAGTGTTTAACTCACAAAAACAGTGGCAACATTTTGAGGGAACTCATTGGAGATGATTGCAAAACCCGATGTCATAAAAGCTGACGCAGCCAGAGCCTCGACACAACGACAAGCAAAACAAACAACGATGAAAGGTAATCCAGGTGGGCATCGGTCTAAGGTGCTAGAATCGAGTAGAAAAAATATATTTATGAATTATTTAGAGAATCAAGAACTGAAGGTTTTATTGTAGGCTATGTTTGTGATATACAGAATGTTATCAATTTATAGTATTCTATGTAGAATGTCATTTATATGTACAACAGTTCATCAGTTTTGCTCTGAAATATAATGAATTTTTTTTTGGGGAGGGGGGGGATTATTTCTTATATCAGTGATTTTTACTCCCTCCATTTAATGTCAGATACCATTTTTCCTTGTAAGTCATAATATGATACAACTATAAATTACTTATAGACAGTAAAAAAGCAAAGTATGTATTATTTTTAGGAGACCTAAAAATGGAAATTGAACAGGTTTTTTAAGTAAAAAAACTCACACATACAAATTTATAGAATTTCAAAAAAACAGGTCTATCTAATTGACAAGTTGCAAAACTGTAGGGCCTTCAACCCTTTCAAAAAAAAATACCATTTTAAAAAAGGGAACTAACCCAAACAAGATGGAGCAGCTTCCAGCAACCAACAGACCAGACACTAGCATAAACTTGGGTCCAATCCTGGTCAGCTGTATAAAGACAGAATAATTAATTTAAAATTGTTGTCCATGTCAGGTCAGCTAGGAGGATGATGGTTTTAATTAGAAATTCAGGTATATTCAGGTATACTTTCATTTAGATATTTAGCAATCTTGGCACACTAATAGAAGCCAGTTTAATTAAATAAAACTGATTAACAGTCCCGATCATCTACAAGAGTACAGACAATGAATAAAATAGAATAAAATTAACAAATAAGTAACCTTTTTAAAATAAATTACACTACAATGTAGAATTACTTCCCTTAATTTCATTTTGTTTCAGCCATTACTTAATGCATATGTTCTTTGTGTTATTTTTGTTCATATTGACTATATCATTTCCCCACTAATTAACTCTTTATCTATTTATTTAATCAGTGTTATTTGTTGTATATCAACTATATATTTGTGGCTTCAGCATTTCTTTTCAAAACAAAAAAACAATACACCATACACTAAGTTTCTTTAAAGTATCTCCTTCTGAACACACTTTCACTACCCACACCCATGGACATTTCAAGTTCCCCCCTTCCCTCCCGGGCACAATGTAAGTCAATACACTAAGACCCTTATCAAAATAACATAAGTCAATATGTTAACACTCTTATCAAAACCACACAATCCCTTTATGAGCTGAGGTCAAAGTAACCTTGCTCCATTTACCTTAAGGACTTTTATTATGAAAGGGAAGGAAACAAAAAACACTTTCTTTATCAATAAAAGTAATGTTTTTGTTTTCTTTTTCTATTTAGATACATTAATACAAATTCTTACCACTTACATAGTTACCAAAGAATTGAGAAGAAATAAAGGTTGTGTAATCACTTACATAGTTACCAAAGAATTGAGAAGAAATAAAGGTTGTGTAATCACTTACATAGTTACCAAAGAATTGAGAAGAAATAAAGGTTGTGTAATCACTTACATAGTTACCAAAGAATAGAGAAGAAATAAAGGTCGTGTAATCACTTACATAGTTACCAAAGAATGGAGATGAAATGAAGATCATGAACTCGAATGAACTGAAGATGAAACCTGTGACTGTGTTAGAGACACCTTTCTTTTCTGCCTGGAATGGAGTGTAAAGGATTTTGTAAACAACAGATCAATGCATGCATTTACTTTTATCTGTTTATTTGTACTAGTGGTTGAACATGACCAGTTAAATTTATTTCAAACAGTCATTATAAGTGTAGCATAATGTAAAATTCTGCCCTGATATAGTAAATAGACATTCTACCCAGTCCATGAACAGACATTCTGCCCACACTGAAAAGTAGATATTCTGCCCACACTGTACATAGACATTCTGCCCACACTGTACATAGATATTCTGCCCACACTGTACATAGACATTCTGCCCACACTGTACATAGATATTCTGCCCACACTGTACATAGACATTCTGCCCACACTGTACATAGACATTCTGCCCACACTGTACATAGACATTCTGCCCACACTGTACATAGACATTCTGCCCACACTGTACATAGACATTCTGCCCACACTGTACATAGACATTCTGCCCACACTGTACATAGATATTCTGCCCACACTGTACATAGACATTCTGCCCCCACTGTACATAGACATTCTGCCCCCACTGTACATAGACATTCTAGCCACAGAGTTATGCGAATGCTGCTCCTATTAAAATAATATAACTATCATCACACAGACTATGCATGTAGATGCATGTCCTTATCTGTAACTGTAACTAACTCTATTAAAAAAATAAACAAAAGCTTAATGAAGACATGCTTCACATGCAATTATGATTGTTATTTCTGCTATATCCTCACTACTCTGTACACTAACAAAACTGACCAATCCATTACCCTCTGCCCATTAACAAAACTGACCAATCCATTACCCTCTGCCCATTAACAAAACTGACCAATCATTACCTCTTGAGGAAAAAATGGTGCCATCAGGGAGAAGCCACACCCACTGGAAAACATGGACAAAATCAAGAGGCCCACAACCATTTTTTTCTTGTAGGACAGCCTAAAGAGTCTAAACTTCTGCTCCAGACTTTTGTTTGAGGAGGTAGTAAAGTCAACAAAGGAAGTGTATGTGAGATTGACAGGTCCATCAGTAACTGACACTTGTCTGTGGGAGATTGTTCCATTTTTTTTATGGCCTAAAACGAACAAAATCTCGATATATATAAAAAAGGTATTAAAAACATAAGATTTAAATAAGTTAATGTAATTATTCTAGTTTTTGTAGTTGTCATAATGGACAGTTATAATTTTATATATTTAAATTTGTATATTCTAGCAGAGAGGTTAAGTAAGGTGTAAAGCACTTGAATCTAGTAGAATTAATAATGAATTATGCTTTTCAAAATAAACAGTTTATAAAATAAATATTAAATGAAAATAAAAAAATTGTTGCATATATACTGGTAAATAAAAAACAAATGGTGGGAGAAATTAAGAATAAAATATTTAAGTAACAGACCCAGAGCTTCTTCCAGGCATCTCTTCTCCCCCCCCCCCCACCCCGAACGAAATGAAATTCATACAGAAAATATATACTTTTAACAGTGTCCCCCCCCCCCCCCAAAATTATTTCAAGAGCCCCCACTGAGAAAAAAGAAGAACACTGAACAGGCCTACAAATAAAAACACTTAACTTGGTAAATTAAAATTACAGTCCAATGGTGAATATTTTATATAAAATTTATCATACACACTCATACACACTCAAGATGTCTGCTTGTAAAAGTGTCTTCATATAAAATAAAGCTTACAGTAGACAGGCCCCTGATCATTCACTACTGATGTATAATATTGATCAAGATGTCCTTTACCTTTGCATATAAATTAAACTCACTACGCCCTCAGGACTTACTTTATTCACAAGTTTATAAAAGACACTTTCACTGTGATGATCAAACTTTAACAAATGTTTTGGTATTTTAAAGATTTGTGACTGCCAAAAAAAATGTATTTTAAAAAGATAGGCCTAAATTTGTTTATTTTTTTAAAAAACTGTAGGCTAATTTAAAAAAATATTAGCATTGCATTCATTTTTATTTTACTTATCCTGACTACATAAATCTTGACTATATATATATATATATATATATATATATATATATATATATATATATATATATATATATATATATATATATATATATATATATATATATATATATATATATATATATATATATATATATATATATATATATATATATATATATATATATATATATATATATATATATATCATTTTTTAAAAACTTATTATAGATCTAACTACTGAACATTCAAAAAATATTTTTTGTTTTTTGCCTTTGTTTGTAAACACTTTATTAGTAGTAAATTTTTTTTTAGTAATAGTATCATGAATACATCTTTGCTTACATTCTAATTCACCTAAGCACCATTGGTGCTTTTTCAAGACATATTCTGGTATTCATAATCAACAGATACTTACTGTGTAGTGTTTATGAATTAATTAGATTCTTATAAGAATCACTTAATAATACAAAATAAGGGAAGAAACAAGAAAGATATTTATTGCTAAAGCTAATTAGGGGCAGCTAGTAAAGATCTTAGAAATAATCTCTATCAAGTTGCCTTGAAAGCTCCTGTCAATGGTCTATTACCTAGCTGGATGACAGGCTAATTACTACATTTACTACCACTACTCCCACTAGTAGACTAGTAGTATGCATTCTATATAAACTATATAATATATATATTAAAATAAATACCAAAATTAATTATCCAAATTAAATTAGGTTTTGCTTTTAAAATCTTCAAAATACAGTATTGTAAAGTAAGTAAAAGACAAATCTTCTTTGTCTCTATTAACTCACCATTTGGTAGATCTTTTGGTTGGATTAATAAATGTGTTTCCTCATCCTGACTTTCTACATCTTCCATAATAAAACAACTGTAGTGATGGAAAAATTGTATCTCAATGCCTCCAAAACCTACAATACTAACTTCACATTTCCTAACTCAAATGAAGATAATATATGCATTGTTTAAGATTGCTGATCATTATGCTAATATATGTAAAACTAAAAGGTAGCTGGAGGGGTTGTTTTAAACAAATACTATGTTTTAGTGTGTAGTTGGATGTCATTTTAGTCATATTGTAGTGATAATATTAGTTGACGATCTTTATTAGTAATGTGGTAGAAGTGGTTCAGTTCAAATTTTGTGACAATGTGTGTTCAAATTTTGTGACAATGTGTGACAATTTAAGAGGGTGAAATAAATTGTACGAGAGGCAGGAAAAAAATATTCATTATTTATTTAAACTAATGTGACTACAGGCAAAATGTGTGAAATTTGTAGGTGTGTGACAAATATGTCACTACGGACATTTGTGACAATATGTGACTGCAGTAAATGTGGCAATATGTGATTAGGAGTAAATGTGACAATTTATGAATTGCAGTAATATGTAACAATATGTGACTTAGGGTTAAAGTCACAACATGTGACTATGGGTAAATGTAACAATGAGTGACTAGGGCAGGTAAATGTGACAATATGTGACTAGTGCTAAATGTGACACTAAATGACTAGGAGTTGGTAGTGTGACAATGGCTAGTAGTACATGCAACAATATATGACCAGGGGAGCAAATTACACATCACATTATATTTTATTTAACTCATTTAGATCTACATTCAATATTTTTATATAGAATAAAAAAAAACCCTAATGTAAATCTATACTATAATATACTACTATAATCAGATCTACTATACTACTATACTACTTTTACTATAACTATATGGTTCTAGCGGCCTAATATTATATAAATTATAAAATGTATAAGTTAATTGCAATTGTTAAAAATCCTAAGCTTTAATCTTTTAAAAGAGCAAAGAACAAAAGATATTCTTACAAGTTTCATGAATCTATGAATGTATTTTAATATTTTTAGAACTCGGCTTACCTGTCAGTGTTTTTAATTTAATCTCAGCCTTAGTAAAGATCCGAAATCTAGATCTCTAGTTCCCATTTAATGAATTGGGTACTGAGTATTGCTTTACCACAAACTACAAAAATCCGTGGACGACATTTAGTCTACGACACACTGCACTACACATTACACACACAATCCCCTTTTATTTATTGACAGCATTTGCATGACCCTACTGACTTAGATTTCAGCAGTGTTCTGCGTACACTGAGTCTAGTACTACATAACTAGATCTAGATCTATATATTGGGCCATAGATCTAGACTTGGTTGAGAATTTCCATTCAAAATATTAACCTGGCAATGACTTGCAGTACGGAGTTGTCAAAAATAGCAGACAACATTCATGACACGACAAATTCCATAACTATAACAAAACGCTAGTTGACTATGTTCAACGTCATTTTATTTAGCCACCAATTCATGGGGATGGAGTAACTAAAACATGTGTAACATCATGGATCATTATAGTTTTGATCAAGAATCTAATTAGTATCTAGATCTAAAATGCATTACAATTACGCATTGTTACACTTCCAAGTTACACAAATTTATGATATAGGGGAAGCAACTCCAAAAATGTTAATTTAACTTCTTTTTTCCCCTATTATTTCCCTTAGACTGTAGATATTTGTTTCTAGAATCGAAGACGTTTTTATTTAATCAAATCATGTTCGGGGTTGTTTACCGATTTGCTATACTGTTTTATATGGATTGTGACAGTCTTTGAATAACGACACACTATTTTAGATTATTTTTATGCCACAACAGCCTGATGTCACGTGTCTTCACAAAATGTCAGACCTACCCCTCCCTTCACTGCAACGTTCCGTTCATCTTGTTCCACAAAATAAAAATAAATAAAGATAAAGCTAACGTAAACTAACACGTTTTCCATACATTCAAAATAAATATTGCGCCACGTATCATAACACCCCCTCCCCCATCTCCTGAATGTTGTAACAAAAAACAAGAGAAATCATGGTAAAATAATAGAAATTCATATTCTCGTTATTTACAACAATAACAAATAATACTCATGACCTATACAGATATTTATGACAACTTACACAATAAATAATTTTGCTCTATAAAGCTCTACACTCTACACTTTAGTTATCCATATCATTAAAGACAGAATATGAAAAGAATTAGGTAAGTCTGTATTTGTTAAAACTGTAAACTTAACATTACATCGTGATTATGCAATACCGATCCCAGGTCAAGCAGACTACACGTTTTATGATTCTAGGTGTATCGATACCAACACTAACAGCGTACACTTTAAAACTTTATTTGATTTTAGTCCCTTTTTTTCCCTTACTTGTAACTACATAATCAAATAGCAATAATTAATCTTTAGCCCCTTTATCTTACTAAACTAGACACAATCTTAAAATGCTAACACTAAAATATATTTGGTTCAAGAGCTCGATTCAGTAAGGCTATATTAATATAGTACGCCTTAAAGTAGCCTCTGCTCTGGTTGGTAAGATAGTGCTTCGCTATGATGTAAAAAAATATTTAAAATTCATTTTGAAATACAGAGCCTGGAGGTCCATTAGGGAGGATGAACTTCACCTGTTACTATAACCTCTGAATATGAATGGAAGGTGTGGTCAGCACTGTGCCCAGCCACCTTTACTTTCCTAAGTCAGATACTGTACCTTTCAGACCTGGGTGGACTACAGACAGATTCTATTTCTTCAACCACTCCATTCCATGCTTCTCAGAAAGATAGAAATAATATATTTATAATTAGTCTACACATTCTTTCTTTTAAACTCATAAGAGCTATGTAAAATGTATATTGATATTTTACCTAAAATACAATTTATTATTCAAATCACTTTGATTTAACAAGCTTTACTGTTTTCTTAAAATTATATATTCCAAGCCTATAATGTAATACACATTTTGTTCATTTTTAATCTACAGCATTTTAATTTAGTTTTTTTGCAATTAATTCTTATACAAATACAAAACAAAGTTTTCAATTGCTGTATTATTTTATTACAGTCAACATAATTAAAACAAAACAATGTTAATCAAATAACAGAGTTGTTAATATTGGTTGGTTTTTTTAATTAGAAGATAAATTTTTCTAAAATTTAACATATAATGTATAAATAAATTATCAGTATACAAATCTCATCACATTTTTATATATAAAACAATTTTGAGTAGAAAACAATATAAGCAAGTATATGACATGTAAGTTAACAAAAATAATTTTAGCCATTAATTATGTAGAAAAAATCTTTAAAGCATTGGCATGTACAAAGATAGTTTACTTGAAATATTTGAGCAATCAAAGTGTTTGAAAACATGATTTTCATGATTATAAATGTTAATATCATATTTCATTAACCCTAGTAACACTACAACAATAGTTAACACTGATTGTGCATAATTTAACCCTCATATTGCCACAACATTAATGTTATAAAAAATTGTGCCAGATTTTTAACCCTTATAATGCCACAACATAATCTTATCACAAATTGTGCCTGAATTTTAAACCATGTATTACCACAACATTAATGTTATTACTGATTGTGCCTAATTTACTCGATATAAAACTACACTAAAGTTAAAACAGATTGTGCTGATTCTATGACATGTTTGTGCTCTAGAACTGGTCAATTATGTACTCCCTCACTGACTAACCTGTATGGAAAAAAACAAAATAAACAATTACTGAATGTTTATCCGGATTAAAGCAGTAAAAATACTTTTATTGTGATTTATAGAAATAGATTAACCATTGATTAATTAGTCATAATTAAATAAAAACTCTATTTGCCCCCTATGGACTTTAAGGTTGGAAGAAATATTAGAACCCACAACCCTGCTAATCATAGGTTTATTGATACATCTGTATGCTTGCGAACAAGTCACAGAATATGATTGTTGATCAACATGATTACCTTGAATCTCCTAGACATACATCCTTATATACAAAAAATTGTACTATGGGCAGAAGGTTCTAAACAGTCATCATACATGGGCAGAGGTCTGTCTTTCAAACACCTGTCCATTTGCATGTTGACCTATGAATGAGACAATAAATGGTTTTTTTTAATCAACTCTAGGTAAAGTTAAGTCCATATAAGTATACTTATTTTTTTAACCATCAACTGCTCTACATAAAGTCTACAGTAAGATATCTTTTGAACAGTTATCTATAAGTTTATTGGTCTATAAAGCCATTAATGAGTATGTCTCAAGTCTACAGGATGTTCTGTCTGCCAAATAGGTGTCCATAACCCTTCAGTAATTTAAAACCCTGTGTGTCCAGATTTTCTCAAAAATAACAGTTCAAATTATCAGGCAATAAACTAAATCCTAAATCATGATTAGATCTAAATATCTACTAATTAAAAATGATGCATTATCAACTTCACTGTAGCAGGTATTTACTAAACAAAATATGCTTCTAATTTTGGCATAATAGGTTATTGTTACAAAACGAGTCATCAGTATGGCTGGTATATGATGGTGATGACTGCAGTGAGAGGTTCAAGCGGTGGGACGAGGGGGGTTGGACTCAGTTATAACAGTTATAATAATTAACAAATAACCTACTATGAGCTTTTGTCTGCTGATTTGTTTCCTTATTCAAGTCCAGCTCCCTGGACTCCAGTAAACTTTCTCTGTTCAGTTGATTTTCAGAAACAGTGCTGTTGTAGCGAACACACAAGTCTTTTTTATATGCTTTCCTTGTTAGTCGGCGTATCAAAAAATATGCACTACAGCTTAGCATCTGAAATTTTAGTTTCATTCTTTAGAAATTGTCAAAAAGAATAACATACATCTGAAATATCTGTATGAGAATAATAAAATGGGAATAATATTTAATAACTGTGTAAATAAACATATTACAGCATACACCACATCTTCTTATTCTTTGTTCTTAATTGTAATCTTGGATGAGATTTCCTCCAACATAATTAAGTGTTAGGTGTCAACTTATTAAGCGCCATAAAGGCCATTGACTCCAATTTCAGTCATAGCCTTTTTCCAACCAAAAACAAACTAAAAGGTGGCAGCTGTTTCATTTTGGAGTTTTCTCTCCTAGATGGGTTGCTGACCCAAGCCATTGAGCCTCATCTGCCCAGGGGCTTGAATTCTGGACTTATTGGTTCAGCAACCATGAGTTTTACCAACCCGACACTGCTAACCCCTACACCGTATCTAAATCCACAGTAAGAAGGTACTCACCACAAAAAAGTTGATCCCACTGACAACAGTTGTGCCGTAATTAAACCCAATTTTATCAACTAAGGCTCCAGCCATCATTGGTCCAGTAAAAGCTCTAAAAATATTGTAAAAATATTAATTTTAAAATTATGGTTTTTGAAAGAGAATACTCAGTGAATGTTCAAATTTATAACGAAAACATCAAGTGTAAAAATACCATCTAGTAAACTTACCCTATAGAGAAAACAGCATTAAACAGTCCAGCAACGATGCCGTAAGTATCTAAATTATTTTCAAATCCAATTTCACTGCAAGAAATAATTTACCATGTTTTTAATTCCATTTTAAACAATTCTTATATAGAACAAATAATATACATTATCAAGTACTTCATATATTTTACTAAAAAAGTTGTTTACACAGAATTAAGCAACTAAACATAGGATTCCTCTGACACACAAAATGCTTACATGGCTCCTGTAAACAAACACTTACGTGGTTACTGTAAGCAACCACTTATATGGCTCATTAAAGCAAATACTTACATGGCTCCTGTAAGCAAACACTTCATGGCAGGTACAACTATAGTGCCAAAAAAAGATCCCACCAGGATGAGGCCTATAATAATTATCCACAGTTTGCTACAAATACAATGAAAATATATGGTTAAATAGTTTTGACATTTAAATTTTCAATATAAACTCACTAAAAACAGAACATTATTTAAACACATTGGTGGTGGGGAGAGTAACCAACTCTACCTAAAGGGTAAGCCTCTTTTATTAATGTAATTTAAATTTCTAAACGGGCAGTAGTAAAATAGTAAACTACCAGGTACTCTGATGGATGTGAACTGATTGCTAATTACAAATTCTGAATAAATGAAGATGATTTAATGATTTATAAATTTATAAATCACATGATATTTTGGTGGATTTTCCTTAACAAAGAACTAAATAAAAAACTTACGATGGCAAAAATGTAATAAAAGGGCTGGGTCCTATAAATAAAAACCCAACTCCACACATGAAGTTCCCCAGAATTATCAGAGGGCCATCTAATTTCTGCGGAGTAATAACAAGGAGTTAACTTCTCATGTAAATAATTGGCCAATTATAAGTATCATTACTTGCTTATGTTTTTAAAAAAACTGATTATTTATGCTTACAGACATTTTACATAATATTGACACTTCATTGACACAAAGTGATTTCAAAATTGTGTTGGATATAGAGATTTACAACTCAAGCCATACAAAAATAATTTTCGTTAATACATCATGATGTAAATTTGAAATTGTAAATATATCTGTATACATACTGTTGTATCACTGATGTATCCCCAAAGTGGAGACAGGATTCCATACAAGCCAGGAGCTATGACAAAAATCAGCCCAATTAGAACTGTTGATAAATCAAACTGAAAAAAAAAGGTAATTTTTAGGCATGCAATTTGTTTAGTGTACCCTTTTTACAATAAAAACTAATTCAACCAAGTGTAACAGTTTGTAGAAAAAAAAAGTGTTAGTACTACAACAATAATTAGATTTATCATTTGTATGGCAGCAGATATAGCTAAAAAAAACAAAGAACACACCCAAAGACTAACTTTAGCCCTAAACAATGTTGATAATCTAACATAGTAATGAGGTTTACCATAGATAATTGCTGTATTAAGATGTTTTTTGTTAGTACCACAAACTGTTGTAATGGCCTACCTGTTGCAAATGGTCAGCAAAAGTTGGATCTAGAAACACAATGCCAATACCACCAGCTATCATGCTCATGGAGGCAAACCATATCATAGGGCTTTTCAATAAGTAGATCACTTTTGACTGTCTCTGATGCTTTATTTCTAATTAAAAAAATTATTTTTCACTTAACAATTATTTCCTGTTAATAATGTTGGTTGGTATTCCAACAAGTGAATGACTAACTTTAACACTTATATGTAGATAATCAACAAACATATACAGGCAGATGGTTAGGGAATAATTACAAATACACTTTTTTAAAATCACAAATCTGTGTATGTTTAAACCTTTTTAGTTTGCTACATAACAGAAAAGGAGCCAATGAAGTATTGTTTGATGAACAAGGCCCAATTTCACTGCTACTTATTTTAACCACCCAGGTCTGATGGGTACCTGAATCATGCTAAGGGAAGTAAAAGTGGCTGGGTATCTTGTCATATGCCGAGGTCACTGAAACAGGTGAGATCTACTACTTGGATTATCAGGTTCCAAAGGTTACTTTACAGTTACTTAATTTATAAATGGGATTTATCATTCCTTTGTGTCTGAAACATTAGGCCTCTCCATAGGACTTCATCTTGTCAACTCCCTTATTATTGATCAACACAATTCCAGTACATGGAGATTACTATAATTATTTGTACATTGAAAGGTTTCTTACCTGTATACTCTGGCAAGAAGAAATATATCACAGCTCCAGTAATTAAGATTAATGATCCTATCACATAAAATGGTAACCCAAATCCTCCAGCCTGTTGACATAAAACAATAGATTCTTGTTTTGAACTTTGTTTGGTAATCATAAAATAATTATTATTTATTTTTAACTAGAAAAATATTAGCTGTAATTTTACAGTAGGTTATTGATTGGAAAACACGTGAATAATGGAAAGAAAAATCTAATTTATAAACTATCAGTCAGGGTTCGTACTGCTTTTTGAAAATAAAATTCCAGACTTTTTCCAGACATTTTCCAGACTTTTTTGGAAAAATTCCAGACTTTAGACAGATAATGTGTTAGCGAATAATTTTTTTAAATAATGCACTATTTGTACTGTCTTTATAATTACTTATACTAAATTGACATTTATTTTAGGCAATTGAGCTATATTCATATTGAACTTTCTCTAGCCAAATTGACAGAAAATCATTTTTTCTAAGTTTGCCTATTTCACCCTACCTAAAATTTTAACAATTAAAATAATTGATTAAAATGATGCAACTATATAGTTTCCAATGTAATCTGTTAATGATCTAATTGCTTATGTTTTCAATTAAACTATCATTAAAATGGTATTGGATAGTGATAATTAATTACTCTAAAGAATAATAATGTAATGTATTAATTTAGGTCTGCTCTTGTTAAGTAGCCTTAGGCTACTTGTAAAAAAATGTGGAGCAAAAAAAAAAAACCCACATCATTCACTGTTTGTGCTTATAGTAATAGCTGAGAAACGGGTCTGCAATAAAAAAAAATTGCCGGTATCCCCCCCCCCCCCCCCCACAGACACACACAACACGGTGAAGGGGTCACTGTGAGGTCATAGTAGTCTAGACTTCAGTATGCCTGTTTAATACGTCATAACATGAACTGTGCTGTGACTTATACCCCTCTCCCACCCTCCTTACCAAGCAGTACCAACTACCCACTTGGGGTCACGGTGAGTTCACACAAGTGACCGATGTTACAAGGAGGGGCGGGGTAGTCTAACTTTAATCGTCAGCATTTGCAAAGATTTCAAAAACAGTTTAATGGAAGGTGGATTAAAATTAAAGGGGTCATCCATTTATGACGTCCACATTTTTTTTTTTTTGTATCTTGCGAGTAGAAAGTAAAATTAAGACGACTGTGCTGGTGTTTTAAAAACCATCACAGCATGTAAACAAAACACGGTATTTATATCTGCCCTAACATTATTGCAAGAGCAGGTCGTCACACTTTATAAAACCCTCCTCCCGACTTTCCGGAGTGTGACGTCATTTATGGACGACTCCTAAATAAAAAATAGTACCTCTTTGGTAAGCTGAAGCAAACAGAAATACAGCTATGAACCAAAGGAGGCCTTGCGACTTATTCATCTTATAAATGCTAATATTAATCTAAAGTAAGTGAACGCGTGTGGACAGAGGGCGGGGGGAAGGGGGGAGTGGGGAAAGGGGGAGGGGGGGGGGGGGGGGTCTAAAATCCGAAAAATTGTTGTAAGTCATAAATGGATGACGCCTTACAGACTGATAAATTATATCTAAAAACTACCACTCACACATCTCCCCCATAATTTTTGTTATGACTGCCTACAAGCAAACTCAAACGATGAAAAAATAGCGGGTAAAATCGAGAGCCTAACAATTCTGAGGGCGACATTCTTTCATTAAATGACAATTTTAAGTACTTGTAACACATTTACACGGGGTCAGTCGCGCCACAAAATATCTCTTCCCTCCCTTCCCCTCTTCTCCCAATGACGTAGTAACTGAGCATAAGCGCGGGGGGAAAAAATTGGAGTAAATTCACTTAAAAATAGCAATTTTTGATATGGAAAATATGGACTACGAAGTTTTGTTTCTAAAACTAGATTCCAGACTTTTTCCAGACTTTTAAAAAATACAGCCCAAAAACTAGCGATTTTCCAGACTTTTTTAAGTCTTAAATTCACTTTTCTAAATTCAAGACTTTTTCCAGACTTTCCAGACTGCGTACGAACCCTGATCAGTTGTATACCAGGCATATATATCCTGTTTAGCTATTTAAATGATATGTGAGCTATACTCTTGGTACATAACAAACCTCATATAGAACACCTCCTAAAGCTGGCCCAGCCATCAGGCCAATACCACTTGCAGTCTCTAGCAGGCCCTTAAACACACACAATACAAAATCAATGTAATAATTACTGTATGGAGATTTTTTTTAACTCCTGGAGGTTTTAAATATCACTTTAAAGTTAGACTTTAACCAATAATCTAATTTTTAAAAACGTGTTATCAAGTTATTTTTTATTCACAGACTTACGTAGAGACAAAACATTGAATGTTAAAGGATTTTCTGATTACATGACATAGTCATATCAAGTAAAACACTTACAAAAACTGTGGCCACGTGATTGGGGAATTCGTTTGAGATTATTGCAAATGAGGAAGTGATGAAGGCAGACAGCCCCAAGGCTTCAACACTTCGGCAGGCAAAGCAAATGATGATGAAAGGTAAACCTGAGGGGCACCAGTGGAGTGTGCTGAAACAACATCAAGCAATTAATAAATTAATGTCAGACATCAAGCAATTAATAAATTAAGGTCAGACATCAAGCAATTAATAAATTAATGTCAGACATCAAGCAATTAATAAATTAATGTCAGACATCAAGCAATTAATAAATTAATGTCAGACATCAAGCAATTAATAAATTAATGTCAGACATCAAGCAATTAATAAATTAATGTCAGACATCAAGCACTTAATAAATTAATGTCAGACATCAAGCACTTAATAAATTAATGTCCGACTTCAAGCACTTAATAAATTAATGTCAGACATCAAGCAATTAATAAATTAATGTCAGACATCAAGTAATAAATTAATGTCAGACATCAAGCACTTAATAAATTAATGTCAGACATCAAGCACTTAATAAATTAATGTCAGACATCAAGCACTTAATAAATTAATGTCAGACATCAAGCACTTAATAAATTAATGTCAGACATCAAGCAATTAATAAATTAATGTCAGACATCAAGCAGATGTTTTCACAATTTTAAAACTGTTTCTTTACAATAATAAGCAAACAGCCTATTCTTAGCTGGCATTGTAAATAACTGGAAAATCAATGTATTTTAAAAGAATTTTTTTTTTACTTGATAAACTGCTTTTAGCTTTTGTAACAACAATTTTAAAATTTTTAAAACTTTTCAAAAACAAGAATACACAAAGTTTATTTAATATGAAAAGAAAAACCTACCCAAATAAAATGGCACATGTTCCTCCTACTAAGATTCCAGAAACAAATAAAAACTTTGGTCCTAACCTTGTTAGCTGAAAAAATTATTTTTAAATTGAAGTCAGCGAAAACAAAATTTTAAATTAAAATTAATTAAAACTGAGTTTAAACAAATTTTAATGCAGTGGGCTTAAATTTGGCAAAGAGGGGTAATAACATGTAGCTAAACTGTTGCTAATAAGACTAGTGTTTCTTTACAGAGAGGAACTAGCAAAATGTAATGGACATTATTATTAATAACTGTTGGAGGTAAACGGAAAAAAACTTTACATACAAAGTTTCCATATACAGGTGAAGAGACAAAGATGACTAGCTGAAACATGCTGAATATGAGCCCAATGACTGTTGTAGACACTCCTTTCTTCTCTGCCTGGATACAAAACAAAATTTAATAAAAATTAATAAAGAATAATGTGTAAATATTTTATTTTTTTCCACTGAGAAATGATTAATATTACCTTATCCATAATGTAGTAATCTGATAATGTCTAAGTCACATAATATAGTATGGTAAAACAGAAGTTTATAAACAATTTTAAATATTAGGCCAGTCTTTAAGTCTCTTGAACGACCCCATGGCCCACAGACTTTTATTGGACAGTGTTCCCAGTAAAAATAAGGTAGAAAGGTACTAAACTGTTGACACAATGTCGTCATACTGATCTTGAGTGTCCACACCATTAAGTAGGTAGTGTGACATCCATCTCCCCCTCCCCCCACTATTTGCCCTTTTTGAAATACTAAACTGCTGTTAGTATGATTACAAAATAATAAAAACACAATTAAAATGACTAATTAAATAGAAATATTCTATAATTTAATTGAGTCTTTTGGTTTTGTGGTCTAATATAAATGGCCATCAGACTCTATGCCATAAATGAATTGACACACTGTGGAAAAACTCCAACAGGCCCAAATGTATTCTAGGGCTACTGTGTGTTTATGCCACAAAAACCATCACCTTAAATGGAAGATTTCATTTTAATTTGTTTATCAATTACTTACTTCTTGTGGAAAAAATGGAGCTAGCAAAGAAAAACCACATCCAACAAAAAAATTGGCCAAACTAAGTAGTGCCAAAACAATTTTGTTCCTGTGGGATAACTGTTTAAATTTTAACTTGGCCTCAGTCTCAACATTGCTGTGGCTCCCACTGTCATCATCACTTTTTATGATTGGAGGACTCTTGAATATTATACCACCATCAACTTCATCTTCTGTTGTTGAGGGACATTTAGAACCTAACAGAAACAGATCACAAATTTTACTGGAGTGATTTATTTAAGCGAAAATATCAGTTGTTTTTAATTTTGAAGAATCTATTAAAAATCAAGCAATAAAACAAAATGGAATAAGATTTTTATCTCAAGTAAACTGCAAAGTTCATCAGAGAAGAACTTTAAAGTGCTTAAAATATGATTACACTACAACATTTTTTGTGTTAAGTCACCCATAATAAGGGTTAAAGTATATATTTTTGACATCATTTTTTTTCCATCAACCGTAACCAGGGTTTATTGCATATATATATATAATTTATTTATTGTTCTATCTCATATAAGGGAAGGGGGAATATGGACATGCTCCAGGGGAAAGTTACCTGAAAGAAACTCTTACCTTAACATAGATGGTAACATTTTTTAAACACTACTGCAACTTCATTAATAGACTAACCTGATGCTTGAGAACCTGACAACAAAGGTGTTGATTCATTACAACCAGCTTCATTCATTTTCTGTAATAATTTATTTTTAGAATGCATATATTACTTTATTATACAGCCAGCACGAATACATTATACAAGGTTTAAAAACAAAGTTGCAATTTAAGACTTTCATTTAACTAAAAATATTTTACCCAATATATGTTAACCAGCAATGTTAAAGCATTGAACTCCTATACCCAGTATCAAAATGCTGAGGTCACTGATTATACGCATTTAAAATGATAATCTTATCAGGTGAAAAAATAAATAGGCCTATGTATTGCTACTACATACAAACTAGCATGAGAGTGATGGAAAAAATTTCACCAGAGTGAAGTAATATGAATTAAAGTTCATGTGTGTAGATCAAGTTTATAATAAAAATAATAACAACACAACTGTAGGGAAATGAAAAATATATCTAAAACTATAGGCCTAATTACCAGTTTACTGTAAATATTTATTTTGTATTATTCACTTAAGTTAAAAAACACACTATCAGTAAAAAAACAAGAGATGCAATACGATCAAATCTAGATATTTTCTAATAACACACACTCTAAAACTCTAATCCTTGCCCTAACAGGGCATATATATAGGACTGTTAATAGTAATTAGTACTAATTAGTAGAGCATTGTAACTCTGGTGGTTATGGAAAAACCGGAGGTTATGCATGTTTCTTTAACGCTGAACTTGAGTTAAAGTGATAATGATATGATACAATTTTCCTAATTATTGTAATTAACACTACGTCACTAGTCTAATAGCTTGGCTTAGGCTTAACTCAAATTAACTGTTAATGTTAAATTGTTACGGTGATAATGAATAATGATAGAATTTTCCTAAATGACACAAATAACCTATTCTTATCTGTTTATTCGTACAAGTGATAATGGTACATTTTTCCAAGATCTATCACAAAAAAATTGACTCAATAAGAAAAAGACAGGCGTTTTAGATTTTAGGCGTTTACAAAAAATTTGATTCTACTGACTCTAACTGAGTGTTAGATCTAGACTAGATTTCTAGATCTAGATCTAGAATCAAGACTAGATCTAGTTTACTGTAATTAAGATTCTTACTAAACTCAGACTAAACTCTAAACAAACTACTGAAACTCACACTCGCACACTCAGTTGACTCTACACTACTCTACACTTAACTACACTTACACTACTCTACAGACTCTACACTCTACAGTCTACAGTTGCAGTTGGTCTACCCAAAGAAGTGCGTGTAGTACACTGCGATTCTAAGACTAATCTTAAAAAGTAGAACAGTAAACAAACAAATCTACACTGAAATAGAATCTAGTCTGGTTGTCTGTATCATACAATTCATCAACTAATAACTGATCTAGATCTAGTGTCTACATTCTAGAATTCAAGAGCTAAAATCTGGTGTTACAACATGGTTATGAAATACCAATAGATTTAGTACGAGGTCAAGCAGACAACACGTATTTTTCGATTCCAACTTTTAGTGTATCGATACGTAATCAGATAGCAGATGTCAATATTTTGAACAAACTAGATATACTCTAGCACACGTTTTACAAAAAAAAAAAGTTGTATTATTATCCTCAGGTTTTAAGTACAGATTAAGAAACTAGCGTTAATAAGTTAATACCGTATTTGTGTTAAATTACAGTTAAATATACGGTATCGATTATAACGAAACGAAGTTGGTTCATAAATACGCAATATGGAGGCTTACTCTTATACATTTTCCCCACCCCCAAACATAACTTTGTGTAAAGTATTGAAAGCGATTTTCTCTTAACTGTGTGCTTACCATGATTTGTATTCCATTAAAACTGTTGTCATACATGTTTTGCAGTAAAACACACTTACACACACACACATATATATATATAAATATATATATATATATATATATATATAAATATATATATATATATATATATATATATATATATATATATATATATATATATATATATATATATATATATATATATATATATCCTATGTATATACACATATAGTCTATATATATATAAACAATTATTTGCGAGTTTAAGTTAGTTATCCTTTTTTATTCTAGCAATCTGTGGGACAGACCACGTTCACCTGTTTCTGTGACCTCTGAATCAGTTTCTTCCAGGTAATCTCTTTTGTGACCTTCTGACCAGAGTCAGTGGCGTAGCTACCGTAAGCTAGCATAAGCAAGGCAAATCGAAAGTTTGTCCCCGGTTGCCGGGAAGGGTCGATACGCCTCTGAGGGGCCCCCTAACACTTTTTGCACAGGGGCCCAAAAATGCTAGCTACGCCACTGACCAGAGTATGACACTTCTGCCAGCTAACCATAGTGTTATCCTGGATGACACCCAAATGTAGTTACAATGTTGTACAGCGTTGACATTAAGTTACTTCAAACGCATATAACCTAACCTGTTAACTTTTATATTACTTTAATTTAGTTTTTGAAGCTAACACACATTTCCAATCTCAAAATTAAATAGATATATTTATTGGTAGCCTCATAGTGGAAAATATTGCATAAAGAAAAAATGTTAAAGTAGGTAGGCTAAATAAAGTTCCCTTTTTTGAACCTGACAATTCATGGGACTAGTGAAGTCAAGTTCACCTGTTTCTATGACCTTGGGTATGTAGGGATAGTGTGGTCAGCACTATGCCCAGACGTCTATCACTTTCTCTAAGGAGAGTTAGGTACTCATCAGAGCTGGATGGACTCACAGACATTCTACTGACCTGAACACATAATTGAACTTGAGACTTTTGGGTTATTAGTAGTCTAGCAATCTACCTTTAGGCAGTTACATAAAGATAAAAAAAAATCAACAAACATTGTTTACAAAAGTATTTTTATTCATCAATTATTTTTTAAAGTAAACCATTGCAACATTTTTAAACAAATGCACTATTATTGACAAATAATTGTTCACATTCAACAAATAAATTATTAAATACATGATTCCAGGGGCAGATAATCCTGAGTATTTGTACCAGCTTGAAAAAAGTACATTTTATTTATATAAAAATTTATTAAATAGTAATGCATATTTATTCATATAAAGGAATGGTATATGAAATACAATAAAACCTCAAACAACTGAAATCTATATTTTCCACATAAATGTCTAATAACCAACAAGTCTAAAAAAGAATAACATTGTTATTGAGAAACAGGAATAATTTAACAGCTACTTACAAGCATATGGGCACCTATTTTACAATTGTTTTAAATTTTGTTCTTTTACTTTCTGTACATTGGACCTAAGTTACATGTTTTTTGCAATACATCTTTAGCTTTACTTCAATCACAAATGCATTGGTACTTTCTAAATTTAAATTCAATTAATTTTTTGAACATACAAATACTCCATAATATCGACAGGTTTTTTTCTACAATATTTTAAATTATTGTTACATTCAATTACAAGTTGGCCCCTTATGTATTTATGGATTAGCCATAATGGCCTTACACATCCAGTAACATCTCAGAGTTAGAGTTGGCATGTGAAGACGTACTGTTTTCATCGTCTTCACCGAGGTTGTTAGGTGACATGCCCACACCATCACCCAGTGATATCATCGGCAGCGGCGACGCAAGCGTGATGTCATTTTCAAAGCTGACCTCATCGACATCATCATCATCATCTTCCTCTTCATCCTCCTCGGAAACTGCCTCATCCTGGTCTTTATCATAGACTTGATCATCATCCTGCTGGGCAGACAAAAGCGTCGAATCCTTGCTGCGCACAAGTGATGCCCCGCTATTCTGCACGCTCAGATCACAATTCTCAGAATTAACACCTCCGAACTGCATGATCATCATCTCAGAGCCTAACGACTCCTGGTCCCTAGACCCAACACTTGATTCATTAACATGCAGCATGTTTAGATCTGTACTGCTTCTATCCTCCTCCATATCATCTATATCCTTGTCAGACGAGACATCATCATCATCATCATGCAGACTGCTGTCATCCATCTCGTGAGAATCTTCTCCAGCAAAAAGTAATGCACCATCCTCAGGATCAACACCAAGCATAGAAGAAGCAGTCCTGGAATTACTTTCATCTTCATCAGACATTTCTTCTTCATCTTCCTCTTCCCCTACGGCATATTCCATCTCATCAAAACTACAATAAGCATTCATAATTTCATCAGGAATTCTGATCAATGCCACTTGCGGAGATATATTTAACAACAATGGCAATTCCCTCCTTTCTTGGCCTCTAAATAGTTTATTCCCAAGCTGGGACTGGTAGTCTAGATCTGTGATCTTACATTTCAATTTAGGATGCTTGGAGGTTAAATGTTGTTGAACAGGTACCTTATCAACAGACACAAAGTCACAGTACCCACATTTGAAATTTTTGGAATTGTCGTGCTCTTCCATGTGGGAGTTAAATTCAGCCTCAGTTTCAGCACGGAAAGAGCAGTGGATGCACTGAAGTGGGGTGCTGATGGATGCATCGTGGAATGTGTACGTGTACGCCTCGTGTTGCTGGGCTACGTGTAGCCTATAGTAGTACAAACTCTCAGAGGTGTAGGGACACTCGTTGCACAGGTATGTGAGGGGGGTCTGGTTCTTTCGTTTGGCAGCTGTAAAATGGAAAAATAATTAGTTAAGTTAAGAGAGAAAAACGAATTACCATAGTGAATTAATGAAATATACTTTTAAAAATATAAATTAACTTATAATTTTTTTTTAATTAAATATTATTTTGGTTATTTCCCTTGTATAATAAAACTTATTTCTTGAAATCATTTTTAGCCCGTTAGTTTACTGTTCTTTTTTTTTGCAAATAATTATGTTTAGTTTATAACACAATAGTACATGAAAAAGAAAATAAATTACCTTTCTCATTGCTGGAGAGCTCTTTGAGTCCCATCTCTGTAACAATTGGCTTATCTATTTCTTCTGGAACTATAGCTTTAGTAACTGCACCAGTTGCTTTCCCTTTGGTAGTATTTGTAGAGCCAGTAACTCCACATCTCCTCAGATGGATCACCCACAGTTGCTGTCCTTTGTGTAAGCAGTATTGGTGGCGCATCAGTTTTTCTCTGAAAATAGGTGATCAAGTACTAAGTTTTAATATCTTTACAATTTATTTCAAAATTTATTTCATAACTAGCAAGTTTCAACAAGTGCTGATTTGGCTAATTTTTATTAAAAATATTTTTCTGTTTCAAGCTATTCTATTTTACTTACTTCCCAGAAAAAGATCTACTACAATAGGGGCAGATAAATCCTTTAGGCTGGTGAGATTTCAGATGTGATTTCATTGCTTGTATAACACAGGAGGAAAAGTCACATGTTTTGCATTTGAACCTAAAAAGGTAATAATTGAACTGTTAATTTCCAAAAAAATTTAACAGAAGAAATGTATACATTCTATTTTTAAGCATATGATTATTTAACATTTTTACAGCATTATGATTATTGCATTGAAATTAATAACCCATGCAAACATTCAAATACTTGTTCAGTTTCTTAATTACTTTTCTAGTCATTTGTTTGAAATAATAATAATAATAACAACACTAATTTTTTTTTATTTATAAAATTAATTTGGTAATAAACAAAAACAATAAAGTTGACCTAAGAGATAAAAAAAAATCTAATGCATGGCAAACCTCATTGGACTGTTTCCTGAGCCTAGTGTCATTCTAGTTGTGTAACCAACATCTAGGGAGGAGCTAGGGACAGATTCACAGTCAGGTAGGGCTTCACCTGTGCTGTCGCAGGTGAAGCCTCGATCCAGCTCGGTCCAGAGGAACTTCTCCTCTGAGTGTGTGACACTGTGATGCTGCTTGACCTCATGGACATTGCTGGCTGTGAAGTCACAGTAGTAACACTTGACTGTCACATCTAGTTCTATGCCAACTGTCTGAAGAGACTTGCCATGCTGTAAAAAAAAAGCCAAAATTGAATTATTAGGAAAAAAAAATTTCTTTTACAGTAGAATAATTTCAATATAAGAAAATGGTTTGGCACATTTTTACAGAAAAAGCAGTAATAATCAGTGTTCTTTCACTGCCCTAGGAAGATAAGAGCACAGAAACTGTTATTAAACACCACAAATACAGTTGAGACATGTATACTATACATGTTCCATGGGGAAAATGTTTTCATATTAACATTAACTTTTTGTGAGTTGTTTTTCCTTGACATGTGAAGTAGTATACATGTTGCAAGAGTTAACCCGCTGTAATTAAGACATTTAATATTACACTCACATAGAGGGAAGGGAAATTAATCAGAGAGTCACAGGTAACCTCCCTTTTATATTTTTTTCGGATTTAAAAATATCTTCATCTATTTATTTAAAAAATATATAAAACTTATGACATTAACGTACTTGTTTCTTAGGGTGCAATCCATCCTCATCTGCCATTGAATCTTCACTGTGCGTTTGTGTTTTTAACTTTTTGGCACTCTTGCTCCCCGTGGGTGCACTCCTCTTGAGGTTTGAGCTGGAGTCTTGAAACTTGGAGATGAAGGCGTCTGTGTTGGAGATGTGGAAGTCTGGATCTCTGGAGGCCTCTTCTTGGACCTTCAGGGCAAGCTGCCTTGTTGCCTCAAGTAGTTCTTCCACTTTGTTTTCTTTCTTCACATTTCTAACATAGGTGTACTGTTCCTCATGACCTGCTCAGTAAATAAAATATAATTATCTCTTTACACACATAAAATTTATTTGTTACCTAAAATTAAATAGAAATAAGTTGGCTTTAATTAAATGAATACATTATCTATAAAATAAATGGAGTTAATTAACTATAATATAAAACATAAATAATTAATAATCTAAGTAGAAAATATAATTGAATTTGATTGTTTATATTATACAAAATGGATTTAATTATCTAAATATTAAATAAATGTAATTTATCTATTATTTAAAACAACAATTATTCAGCGTAACTGACCTTGTGATCTTGAGTGTCTGCGACACTGATCAGGAGATGGGAAAAAGGCTCCGCAATTGGTACAAGTGTATGGGCGATAGTTGACATGGCGATTCAAGTGGTATTTCATCTTTGAGGTTGCCATGGTTTTAACCGCGCACGACCTGCAAACAAACCGCCATGCTGGAATACGCTTGGCCTTGTACGGCATCCCAGGGTGGTCCCATTTGGTGTGGTCCTCCATGCGGCTGATGGAGGTCTCGCGCGTGTCACAGTGCTCACACTGGAACAGCTCATCCCCTTTCTCAAAGACGAATCTCTTTCTACGTTTAAACACGCCCCCTTCTGGGTCCTCTTTAATTTTTCTTTTCACTGCCTTCTTGCTGCCGTCCCAGCAAGCTGAGCCATCTTCAGATGGTTTAACAGCAGCCTGTGTTGATGTTTTGGGCAACTTTTTCTCTGTATGGTTCTCGTCAGTCTGGGAATGGTTTTCTCTAGTGTGTTGTAGAATATCCTCCTGTGTGTTTGTTTCATAATGGCAATACGCGCAAGCGTACTGTTTAGGTCCTTGGTTGGTAGGTGGAGCACTCACTGGTGGGTTCGAGGCCAGCTTTTTGCTAATGAGTATCTGACGTTTTCTTTGAAAGCTTAGGGGTCCCATAAGAGGTTTGCTTCTGGGTTTAGAGCGTGGTGGGTTGAGGGAGAAGGCATCTTCTT